CTGCTTTAACAGAAAAAAAAGGAAATAAACCTAACCCAAAACTATTATATGTAGAGGGGTCCCACTCTAGATAAACATCCAAGGGTCCCGTGACTCCCACTGTTGGGTGCAGGCGAAAAAAGAGCTTGTCACGGCTCAGCTAGAGTAGGATCAGTAGATAGAGCTTCAGCCTGGCTCCTTCCAGGCCATGCCCCCGATGTGTTTTGCCCCGTCCACAGGATAAAGAGGACCTCTATGACGAAGCCTAGACGGCGGGGTGAAGTGCGTCGTGGGGCATGGCCTGGATGGAGCCGCGCTGAAGTCGTATGTCCTGATCCTATACTCTAGCTGAGCTGGTGTGCAGCCTGACTTTTTCTTTCTAAGACCAAAACCATCCATAGTTTCTCTTTAACCTGCACAGTATACAAGGATCCGTTGCCGTGCCTATTATACCCTCATTTGCCTTCAACTTTGTGGGGTTTTTTTTTCCATTGGATTTCCATACTCTGTTATGATGTTATGACCTATATTGATCCTAGTGTGTTTGAGTATAGAAGGGACAATGGACTGTGGGCCCCTGAGGGGTACAGGAGCCAACGTGAATGGTGCTGTGTGTAATCTGTATTATCTATGCATGCTTTTGCAACCAGTGCAGACGTTGGCGGACAGGAGGAGAAAACTCTTCTGGTGGAGAGCGCCCTCCAAAGCACTCAGGAGCAGCTGAGTGATCGCGTAGCCGAGGTGGTGAGACAGGAGCAACATGTACGCAAGTTGGAAAGCGAGATGCGTTCACTGAGGGAGCGAGTGATTGCCAGTGAAGAGGAGCTGGAACAGTGCAGGTATTGTACTTCTGTGTCACCTGCCGAATTCCACGTTTTGTCCCTTCTCAACTTAATCTCACGTGTGTGAATAGGACACTGGTGGAACGCCTGAAACTGGAACTGAACGAGGCGAAAAAGAGGCACCAGACATCGTCCCAGGAAGCCCTGAGATTGCAGCATTCACTGAGCAAACTACAGCTGGAGCAGACCAGCGACCAGGAGCAACGCATAGCTCTGCAGCAACAGGTAATGCAGTGTAGTAAGGTGCAGGGGCGGACTGACCATTCAAGCACTCAGCACTGCCCGAGGGCCCGGGGTCAGTAGGGGGCCCCATGAGATGCCCCTGGTACCTTTCATAGGCTTTTTTGGGTGTGGTTTGAGTGTGGGCGAGGACACAGGGGCCCCATGATCCCCTATTGCCCAGGGACCCCATGAGTTGTCAGTCCACCCCTGGTAAGGTGTACCCGCAGATATCACTTCTCATCAGGGGCGGACTGACCATTTGGAAACTCGGGCACTGCCCGAGGGCCCGGGGTCAGTAGGGGGCCCATGAGATGCCCCTGGTACCTTTTTCATAGGCTTTTTTGCGTTTGGGCAAAGACACAGGGGCCCCATGATCCACTATTGAGGGCCCGGGGTCAGTAGGGAGCCCCATGAGATGCCCCCGGTACCTTTTTCATAGGCTTTTTGAGTTTGGGCAAGGACACAGGGGCCCCATGATCCCCTATTGCCCGGGGGCCCCATGAGTTGTCAGTCCGCCCCTGCTTCTCATCCAACTTCTCCCACAATTTTGTCTCAAAGAATGCCGTCATATACAGTGGCTAAATGGTTCGCACTTCCGCCTGGCAGTACTAGGGTTGCTGGTTCAAATCCCAACCACGGCACCACCTGCTTGGAGTTTGCATGTTCTCCCTGTGCCTGCGTGCGTTTCCTCCGGGTACTCCGGTTTCCTCCCACACTCCAAAGACATGCTGGTAGGTGAATTGGCTCCTGTCTAAATTGTCCCTAGTATGTGTATGTATGAATGTGAGTTAGGGACCTTAGATTGTACACCCCTCGGGGGCGGGGACTGATGTGAATGTACAATATATATGTAAAGCGCTGCGTAAATTGGCGGCGCTATAGAAGTACCTGAAATAAAGAAATAAAAATAAATATACAGGAAATGTGCGGGTGTTTTGTGCACAATCATATGGTTCTATTGAAAAGGAGAAATACATACTCACCAGCCACTTTGTTAGGTACACCTCTTCAATTGTTTGGCAACACAAACTGCTAAGCGCGTGCGCGCGCATGTGTGTGTATGTATGTATGTGTATATATATATATATATATATATACATATATAGTAGTGGTTTGACAGGGCCACTGTACATTATGACACTTGTGTCTTGCAAAATTAAAAAAAAATGAAATAAATAAAAAGTGAAATCTTGTGAGCTGCTATGTAAAGGGTAATTGGTACTAAGTGCTAATTGTGAATCGGCTGCACCTAACACATACTCATACTAGTGTGCTAACCAATACTATTGAACAGAAATGACTCCAAATAAATCAGTATTAAATAATAAGTGCAACCAGGTGCTAATATAACGGATGCCAAAGTACATATCAATATGCAAAACCAATATGCATACACATGTTATGATCAAAAAAACTAATTGATAAAATTAATAGTAATGTCCATATCCATAGCAAAAAAAGATGATTCGGATCATTTCCCTGATGAAGCCATGTGATTGGTGGCGTAACGCGCAGGGGAGGGGCTTTGACATGACGATGCTCGATGGTTCTATGCTGACACCAGCTGGACATTTTAGAATATTCACCACTGAAAAATATCCGGAGGACAGTACTGTCCATATCCATAGCAAAAAAAGATGAATCGGATCATTTCCCCTGATGAAGCCACGTGATTGGTGGCGTAACGCGTAGGGGAGGGGCTTTGACGTGATGACGCTCGATGGTTCTATGCTGACACCAGCTGGACATTTTAGAATATTCACCACTGAAAAATATCCGGAGGACAGTACTGTCCATATCCATAGCAAAAAAAGATGCAATAATTAAAAAATAAAATAGAAATTATAAGGAAGAATCCATATATATGCTTCTTCAACCCTGCTCAGTTCCTTTTATAATGAAATATCCTGTGCTTCTTTTATTTATTTTTTAAGTGGGAAAATTTGCATTTACTGTGCTCCCCCCCCCCCCCCCCCAGATGTGCTCTCACCTCAAATATATGACCAAACCGTTAAGTGAGGTCATATCACGCTTGTGTCCCTTTAAATGGGTCAAAATGGATGGGATGGTATCCTGCTGTTTGGGGTCCTTCTCCACTCAAACGATAGGCTCCCCTTCCATGGTGGGTCATGCAGAAGAATAATCAGATCATAGTGTATTATCCTTTAAAACCGTTTTATTAATAAAAGAAATGCACTCACATATGCTCTGTATATAAACTGCTTTGTGCACAAAATGTGTCCTCCGGATATTTTTCAGTGGTGAATATTCTAAAATGTCCATCTGGTGTCAGTATGGAACCGTCAAGCGGCGTGACATCAAAGCCCCTCCCCTACGCGTTACACCACCAATCACGTGGCTTCATCAGGGGAAATGATCTGAATCTTCTTTTTTGCTATGGATATGGACATTACTATTAATTTTGGCAATTTGTTTTTTGATTATAACATGTGTATGCATATTGGTTTTGCATATTGATATTTACTTTGGCACCTGTTTTATTAACCCCCCTGGTGGTATTCCTGAGTGTAGCTCGGGCTAAACGTTCAGTACCACAAGCGGTAACCCCCCCGAGCTACACTCAGGATTACACTGCAGCGTTGCTCCGGGATCCCTCTTGCACTTACCTTGTCCTGCGCTCCCGTGATGTCCCCCCTGCAGTGTTCTCGGCCATCTCCTCCGGGCCAATGCCGGCATCTGTCTTCCCGGTTCCGTTCCCTGCGACGTTGGGACGGAACCGGTGGGAAATTAAAAAATTTTAAAAGTGACATTCGCCAAATACACTAAAATCACATAGTATAACATTCCTGTATCAAACCATTTCACATACATTGTGTCCCGAGTGCTTTGTCCGACGCCCTGCCTGCATTTTTACTGTTCTTTCTGCCTGGAAACTGAGAAACGTCCATGGCGTCCAAAAAGCGTCCCTTTAGGTCAGACGCGGTTTTAGACCGGCTAGAGAACAGCGATAGTAAATCAGAACCACTTGCAGAATTGAGTGATAATGATTGGTGGGGGAAATTCCTCATCAGACACTGAAAACGATTCTGCGACTGAGCTCAGCGATGTGCGAACTTGGATCTCTATTTAAAATTTCAGTGTTTTTGGTTTGATTATATTATTGAAGTACATTTATTATTATTATATTATTATTTTTTAAGATTATTATTATATTATAATTTATGATTTCGTGTTTCCAATTTTATCCTCCCCGGGATGTTTACTAGACTCTTGTTCGGACAGATTTCAGTGAGTTATTCCTAAGAATTACAGGCCTACAATAAAAAAAATACATATTTCCATCCAAAAAAATGTACCGCTTTGAGCACAGAAATACGGACATAATCAGACCGCTAGGGAGGTTAAACATTATTTAATACTGATTTACAGTCAGGTCCATAAATATTGGGACATTGACACAATTCTACCATTTTTGGCTCTATACACCACCACAATGGATTTGAAATGAAACGAACAAGATGTGCTTTAACTGCAGACTGTCAGCTTTAATTTGAGCGTATTTACATCCAAACCAGGTGAACGGTGTAGGAATTACAACAGTTTGCATATGTGCCTCCCACTTGTTAAGGAACCAAAAGTAATGGGACAATTTTTGTGAAGCGCGGCACATTTCCGTTCAATACCTGTGTCTTTCAGTTCCAGGAACAAAACACTATTCAGCAGTCTCTCAGGTCAGAGCTGGAACAGCAGCAAAGCCAACACGAGGAGCTCCAAAGACACCTTCACAAGGCCAAGGAGCGAGAGAATACACTGCAAAGAGAGGTGGAGGAGCTGAGCCTGAGGGTAAAGCACTCCGACCGCCTAGTGAGTGCCGCCACTGTGAGACAATAATGACGTTGTACCAGCAGGGCGACCGAAGTCTTACATTTGTATGTGTTCTTGCAGCTTGCAGAAAGGGACAGAGCTCTACAAAGCTTGCAAAGCAGCTACACACAGCTGGAGAGAAGATGGCAATCTGCTCAGGAGGAAGCCAGAGACAGCACCTCTCAGCTAGAACTGACCAAGAATTCTCTGCAACAAGCACAGAGGAAGATCCAGACCCAGAACCAGGAGGTGAGTGCATGTAGTCCTTTCTTGATGCACTATTGCACCCTTCACCTCAATTCCAACCCATGACGGATGACCCTACTGCAGCCATTCAATCAGACATACATAGTCTACAGTCAATTTGATGTGACACAACTTAAACAACCCACACGGGTACGGGGAAGGCATAAAACTATGATGGTGCTCCTGCTGGTATCTGAAGGCAGGATTGTTGACAGGTCTGACAATGGAAAAAGCTGAACTTTGTGTTAAAATCACAGCCTCATTGCTGTATGTTTGCAGATAACATATGGCACTGCTACCTCTGCGTGCTAGTCAGCTAAGATTTGGAATGATATTTAGTGATGTCACTCCTGTGTTGCTCCCTGTTCTCCTTGCTGGAGTGGAAGATGTACCTGAGCACCTACAGTGCAAGGAGCTCACTGCTTCTGTTTTATTTATTGTGTGGATTTATGCTTCCTCTGCTTATCTTGCTGCTTCTTGAATTTTCTCACACCAGTCCTCAGATCACCAGTCCTCAGGGAAGCTCTGCCATGAGGAAGCATAGTCTTCTTTATCCACCATGATGGCCACCTCCACAGTGTGGAACAAGTCATGGTAGGTCAGTCCTCAGATCACCAGTCCTCAGGGAAGCTCTACCATGAGGAAGCATAGTCTTCTTTCTCTACCATGATGGCCACCTCCAACACAGTGTGGAACAAGTCATGGTAGGTCAATCCTCAGATCACCAGTCATTAGGGAAGCTCTGAAATGAGGAAGCATAGTCTTCTTTCTCTACCATGATGGCCACCTCCACACAGTGTGGAACAAGTCATGGTAGGTCAGTCCTTAGATCACCAGTCATTAGGAAAGCTCTGCCATGAGGAAGCATAGTCTTCTTTCTCCACCATGATGGCCACCTCCACACAGTGTGGAACAAGTCATGGTAGGTCAGTCCTCAGATCACCAGTCATTAGGGAAGCTCTGAAATGAGGAAGCATAGTCTTCTTTCTCTACCATGATGGCCACCTCCACACAGTGTGGAACAATTCATGGTAGGTCAATCCTCAGATCACCAGTCCTCAGGGAAGCTCTACCATGAGGAAGCATAGTCTTCTTTCTCCACCATGATTGTCACCTCCACACAGTGTGGAACCGGTCATGGTAGGTCAGTCCTCAGATCACCAGTCATCAGGGATAGCTCTGCCATGAAGAAGCATAGTCTTCTTTCTCCACCATGATGGCCACCTCCACACAATGTGGAACAAGTCATGGTAGATCAGTCCTCAGATCACCAGTCATCGGGGAAGCTCTGTCATGAGGAAGCATAGTCTTCTTTCTCTACCATGATGGCCACCTCCACACAGTGTGGAACAAGTCATGGTAGATCAGTCCTCAGATCACCAGTCATCGGGGAAGCTCTGTCATGAGGAAGCATAGTCTTCTTTCTCTACCATGATGGCCACCTCCACACAGTGTGGAACAAGTCAGTGTGGAACAAATATCAGCTGTAGTGCGCATAAAGGCAATACTGCTGAATAATCCGCTTTTGGCCGCAGCTTCCAACAGTAAGCTACCCTTTGACCATTTCATGTATCAGCTATAGACATACTCTTTCCTAATACAAGTCGATGTCTTCCGTCCACTTCCTATCCACTGCAGCCATCCCACTTCGAGTTTTCCTTTCCAGTCATTCTAATAGATTTGCTTTCTTACTGCAGTCAAAGCGCCTTGAGGATTCTCTGATACGAATACGAACGGAGGAGGAGGCAGCGCAGAAAACGGCGAGGGGGAGGAGCCAGGAGTTAAACTCTGCGCAAGAATGTTTGCAGGAACTAAAAAGCCAGCTGACTGCTGCACAGGCTGCCCAGCGTGAGGCGAGAGAGCAGGTACCACGTGATATTCGGGTCATAAAGGCTTGTTCCAGTATCTTTAAACCTCAAAGATTATCAATTTAAACCAAACAAAGCAATATGTAAGTCACGGGTGTCATACTGGCGGACCCCGCATTCACTATATCCGCTCTCCCGGACCCCGCATTCACTATATCCGCTCTCCCCGGACCCCGCATTCACTATATCCGCTCTCCCCGGACCCCGCATTCACTATATCCGCTCTCCCCGGACCCCGCATTCACTATATCCGCTCTCCCCGGACCCCGCATTCACTATATCCGGTCTCCCCGGACCCCGCATTCACTATATCGCTCTCCCCGGACCCCGCATTCACTATATCCGCTCTCCCCGGACCCCGCATTGACTATATCCTCTCTCCCCGGACCCCGCATTCACTATATCCGCTCTCCCCGGACCCCGCATTCACTATATCCGCTGTCCCCGGACCCCGCATTCACTATATCCGCTCTCCCCGGACCCCGCATTCACTATATCCGTTCTCCTCGGACCCCGCACTCACTATATCCGCTCTCCCCGGACCCCGCATTCACTATATCCGCTCTCCCCCGGACCCCGCACTCACTATATCCGCTCTCCCCGGACCCCGCATTCACCATATCTGCTCTCCCCGGACCCCGCACTCACCATATCCGCTCTCCCCGGACCCCGCACTCACTATATCCGCTCTCCCCGGACCCCGCACTCACTATATCCGCTCTCCCCGGACCCCGCATTCAGTATATCCGCTCTCCCCTGACCCCGCATTCACTATATCCGCTCTCCCCGGACCCCGCATTCACTATATCCGCTCTCCCCGGACCCCGCATTCACTATATCCGCTCTCCCCGGACCCCGCATTCACTATATCCGCTCTCCCCTGACCCCGCATTCACTATATCCTCTCTCCCCGGACCCCGCATTCACTATATCCGCTCTCCCCGGACCCCGCATTCACTATATCCTCTCTCCCCGGACCCCGCATTCACTATATCCTCTCTCCCCGGACCCCGCATTCACTATATCCTCTCTCCCCGGACCCCGCATTCACTATATCCGGTCTCCCCGGACCCCGCATTCACTATATCGCTCTCCCCGGACCCCGCATTCACTATATCCGCTCTCCCCGGACCCCGCATTGACTATATCCTCTCTCCCCGGACCCCGCATTCACTATATCCGCTCTCCCCGGACCCCGCATTCACTATATCCGCTCTCCCCGGACCCCGCATTCACTATATCCGTTCTCCTCGGACCCCGCACTCACTATATCCGCTCTCCCCGGACCCCGCATTCACTATATCCGCTCTCCCCGGACCCCGCACTCACTATATCCGCTCTCCCCGGACCCCGCATTCACTATATCCGCTCTCCCCGGACCCCGCACTCACTATATCCGCTCTCCCCGGACCCCGCACTCACTATATCCGCTCTCCCCGGACCCCGCACTCACTATATCCGCTCTCCCCGGACCCCGCATTCACTATATCCGCTCTCCCCGGACCCCGCATTCAGTATATCCGCTCTCCCCTGACCCCGCATTCACTATATCCGCTCTCCCCGGACCCCGCATTCACTATATCCGCTCTCCCCGGACCCCGCATTCACTATATCCGCTCTCCCCTGACCCCGCATTCACTATATCCTCTCTCCCCGGACCCCGCATTCACTATATCCTCTCTCCCCGGACCCCGCATTCACTATATCCGCTCTCCCCGGACCCCCATTCACTATATCCGCTCTCCCCGGACCCCGCATTCACTATATCCGCTCTCCCCGGACCCCGCATTCACTATATCCGTTCTCCTCGGACCCCGCACTCACTATATCCGCTCTCCCCGGACCCCGCATTCACTATATCCGCTCTCCCCGGACCCCGCACTCACTATATCCGCTCTCCCCGGACCCCGCACTCACTATATCCGCTCTCCCTGGACCCCGCACTCACTATATCCGCTCTCCCCGGACTCCGCACTCACTATATCCGCTCTCCCCGGACCCCGCACTCACTATATCCGCTCTCCCCGGACCCCGCACTCACTATATCCGCTCTCCCCGGACCCCGCATTCAGTATATCCGCTCTCCCCTGACCCCGCATTCACTATATCCGCTCTCCCCGGACCCCGCATTCACTATATCCGCTCTCCCCGGACCCCGCATTCACTATATCCGCTCTCCCCTGACCCCGCATTCACTATATCCTCTCTCCCCGGACCCCGCATTCACTATATCCGCTCTCCCCGGACCCCGCATTCACTATATCCGCTCTCCCCGGACCCCGCATTCACTATATCCGCTCTCCCCGGACCCCGCATTCACTATATCCTCTCTCCCCGGACCCCGCATTCACTATATCCTCTCTCCCCGGACCCCGCATTCACTATATCCGGTCTCCCCGGACCCCGCATTCACTATATTCTCTCTCCCCGGACCCCGCATTCACTATATTCTCTCTCCCCGGACCCCGCATTCACTATATCTAATCCCCCACAGTACACAGAACATGGAAATTCAATTATTTTAGTAAATATAAACTGCTAAATACCTTTTCTAATCAGCAGTATATAGCAGTCTTGTGACTTCTATCAGTGTTCAGCAGAGCACTGGTTAAAGCTTGTAGGAGGATTTTTCTTTCTGCTCTAGAAGGATGCAGAACCCCTGACCTCTGTCTGGACAGTGCTGATTGGCTCTGTGCTGATCACATGCACTCTCCCAAGAAAAAACCTCTCTAGCAATATACACCAAACTGAGCATGTGCAGAGTGTCTCCACACAATATGTCTTATCAGGAGAGAAGGGGAGGATCAGAGAAGACAGGATTAAACAGCCTTTTTTACACAATGCAGAGGATTAACCCCTTAGGTCCCACAGTGAGTATAACCAGCATGATTTACTGCATCTACAGTCTGATTGTCCTGTTGTGGGTTCAGTAACACTTTAGTATCCTGCCGCCCCTATTCCTCGCAGTGAAGCTGGATTCTAGATTGCTCCTCAGTGACACGTGAACTAAAGTTAACAACAAGACCGTAACGAATCGGCTTTTCTCTGCAGCTTAGCGACAAGAACCGAGAATTGGCTGCTTTGAAGAATGAGCTGCAGCGGAGCCAGCACAGGAAGGTGGAGCTGGAAAGGGAATGTATCGCTCAGGAAGAGCAAATCCGGAGGCTGAGCGCGGAGATGAGCGCCGTACACGAGCTTCACAAGCAGAAGGAGCAAGAGGTACATGGCTGGGCAGGAACATATTTCCTGGAGGGATCCATGCCTTATCCAAGGTGGTGCCAATATTTCCGAACCCCAGGAACCACCTTTCATAGGGGAGGGCTGTGCTGCTGGCTGTTGGCTGCATATGATCCTGCGTTTCTGTCTGTTGTCTTTTCTCTGTATCTTGCTATTGCGTCATTTAGTTGCTAGTTCCTATCTAAATTGATATATTTTTTTTTTTTAATATTTCATACTTACCTGCTCTTTTTTTGCACACAGCAGCCTGGTCCTCCTCCTCTGGGGACCCTGCCAGTGCTCTGGGCTCCTCCCGCTGCCCTGCAAGGGCCCCCATTGCAAACCGCTTTGACACTTTCCCTCATACTGAGAGGCAGCCGCTGTGTTTTGGGCAAGTTCTCTACTTCTTGGTTTCCTGATTTCTGCCTTGTGGTCCAGTGTAGTTGCACTCTTGTCCCTTCTACGTGGCCTTCAAGTCTCTGCCTGGTCTAGCCCTGTGCCTTTGTCAAGGCCCCTCTGGATTTGTTGATTTATGTATTTCAGGTACTTGTATAGCGCCGTCAATTTACACAGCGCTTTACATATATATTGTACATTCACATCAGTCCCCGCCCCCAAGGAGCATACAATCTAAGGTCCCTAACTCACATCCATACATACACATATGAGGGACAATTTTAGACAGGATCCAATTAACCTCCCAGAATGTCATTGGAGTGTGGGAGGAAACCGAAGTACCCGGAGGAAACCCACGCAGGCACAGGAAGAACAGGGAAACTCCAGGCAGGTGGTGCCATGGTTGGGATTCGAATCAACGACCCTAGTACTGCCAGGCGGAAGTGCTAACCACTTAGCCACTGTGCTGTCCTCTCTGTCATTGCATTTTTATTTATTGCGATCCATCCTTGTGCTTCAAACCCCCACCAATGGCTTTGGTTCGTTTTGCTTGCTCAGTGCCGGGGTGGTCCAGGGACATCCGATTACACCCCGGTATACCCTAGCTCAGGGCTTAAAATTTCAAGTCCTCAGCTACTAGCCAGGCCTTAAGAGTTACTCGCCACCAACAAACACACACAGAGACACCTGTACACACAGACATGTACACATACACATACAGACACGCACATACAGACACATGTATACACACACAGGCACGTAAAGACATGCATACAGACAGATACATGTACATACATAGAAATACACACGCACAGACACATATACACCCAAACACATGTACGTACATACACACACAGACACATGTACACACACATACATGTACATACACGCAGACACATGTACAGATACACACATGTACATACACACAGACACAAACACACATCTGTACACGCACGCTGTTAAGTGCTCTCTCCTCTGAAGCCACCACTGGCTGACATAGAGGATCATGTGACCAGAGTGAGCTGAAATTAGGTACACACACAGCCCTATAAAAAGTTGCAGTACTTTGTTGTTCACTCACAGAGCCGGGTACTGCACTCTAGGGGGAGGCAGAGAACACAGCACACACTCCTTCATTTCCTTTCACTGCGCTCAGCTATCGAGCAGTCTGACGGCTCCCAGTGCCAATGACAGATCCGGCCTGAGCTCTGAGTCTGCTCAGCAAGACGGCCCTGGGGGACACACTCGCCCCCACCATAATTTCCACTCACCATTGGCGAGCAGAAATTTCAAAGCCTGCCCTAGCTTGAACGGCACCTGCTGTAGCCACAAACACACATCGCAGCTTCCATGCATGGTGTGTGGGCGGAGGAGAGGACAGGCTGTGTTGCTTCTGGACTGGACATTATTGGCCTCCCAGGAGTTTCCTAAACCTCCTGACTTTTTGAGGAGTCCCCAACTGGAAGTTTAGAACATTTCCAATCTTAATGGTACCTGAAAACAAAGAGAGGTATTGGACTTTGTAAAAAAAAATCATTAGCCAAAAATACCATCAAGATATCTTCTCGATCCAGCAATGTGCACGTGAGCAGCAGCTCTCTCCCCCCTCATTGGCTCTGAGACAGCAGCAGGAGCCATTGGTTACTGCTGCTGTCAATCACAACAAGTGAGGACGGAGTAGGGGGTGCGCTGAACGGTGCTCTGTGTGTCTCACACAGCTGGATCAGAAGCGAGCACACACAAGTGCCCCCATAGTAAGCGACTTGCTATGGGGGTTTCTGGTGAAAGGGAGGAGCCAGAAGTGCCGGCGTGGCAGCAGCTCTCTCCGCCCCTCACTGGCTCCAAGATAGCAGCAGGAGCCATTGGTTACTGCTGCTGTCAATCACAAGTGAGGACGGATCGGGGTGCGCTGAGCGGTGCTCTGTGTGTCTCACAAACCTGGTGCAGGAGCGAGCACACACAAGTGCCCCCATAGTAAGCAGTTTGTTGTGGGGAGCTCTTGGTGAAAGGGAGGAGCCAGGAGTGCCGGTGGGGCAGCAGCTCTCTCTCCCCCCTCATTGACTCCAAGACAGCAGCAGGAGCCATTGGTTACTGCTGCTGTCAATCACAAGTGAGGACGGAGCAGGGGGTGTACTGAGCGGTGCTCTGTGTGTCTAACAGAGATAGATTGGGAGCGAGCACACGCAAGTGCCCTCATAGTAAGTGACTTGCTATGGGGGCTCTTGGTGAAAGGGAGGAGCCAGGAGTGCCGGTTGGGAACCCGACAAGAGGAGGATCAGGGCTGCTCTGCACAAAACCACCTCACACGGCAGGTAAGCAGAACAGATTTGTTATTTTAAACCCCTCCCCCTCCGGAGGATTCCTCCCCCTTTCCTGACCAGGCCATTTTTTGCGTTACGTCGCTGTGTTTACTTTAACTGACAATTGCGCGGTCATGCAACGCCGCACCCAAATGGAATTTACGTCCTTTTCTCCCCACATCTAGAGCTTTTTTTTTATGGTATTTGATCACCTCTATGGTTTTTTTTTTTTTGTGCTTTAAAAAAAAGACCGACAGTTTTGAGAAAAAAATAATATTTGTGACTTTTTGCTATTAAGCGTCCAGTAAAAAAATGTAAAAAAAATAAAATTTCGTCATAAATTTAGGCCAAAATGTATTCTGCTCCGTGTCTTCGCTAAAAATAAATCCTAATACGTGTAAATTTAATGGTTTACGTGAAAGATATTTATTTATTACCGGTACTTATATAGTTATAGCGTTACAGATGGCGGTATACATACTTGAATTTTAAAAAATGTTTTCACTAGTAATGGCTGCGATCAGCGACTTATAGCGGGACTGCAGCGAGCATTCTGACACTGGGGGGGAACTGACTTCGTGTTACTGACATCCCCAGTGACACCAATACAGTAATCAGTGCTAATAAAAGGCACTGACACTGTACTAATGGCACTGGGCAGGAAGGGGTTAACAGGGGCGATCAAAGGGTTAACTGTGTGCTGGGAGTGTTTTACTAGGGGGTGTTCATCACTGTAGGCACACTGATCAGGATGGCTGTGCTGTGCAGTGTCCCCGAGCTGACAGGGAGGAAGACTGTTTGTATGAATGGCACTGGGCAGGAAGGGTTAACATCTGGGGCAATCAAAGGGTTAACTGTGTGCTGGGAGTGTTTTTCTGTAGGGGGGGGGTGTCTTTGTGTGCTTTACTGTAATCGCACTGCTTTGCAAAGCAATGTGCAGGAGCTGACAGAGGAGAGATATGTATTGTTTACATACAATTCTCTCCCTCAGTTGGCAAAGCTCCTCGATCACCAGGTGCCGGCGGGAACCCAGTGATTGACGGGCGAACCGCAGTAGATGCGTGCGTGGCTTGAGCAGCCCCCTACTAAAATCTAGGGGGCGGTAGTAGTGTATCTGCTGTAGGGGGCGGGGAAAGCAGTTAAATCGATCATTTACAACGACTTTAACAAGCCTGGGTGCGGGAAGTAGTTACCCATTTACTGTCCCTGTGTCATAGGTGGAGGCAAGCGAGAGCCGCGTTCGAGAACTGAACAATCAGCTGAAGCATTGGCAGAGGTTACACCAGGAGCACACACACACGTTCAGACAAAGAGAAGACGACGTGAAGCAGCTCCAGGAACAACTAGCAATACTGATGGAGAAGCTGAAAACGGAAGGCAAAGAGGTAACAGCCAACAACTGCTGATCTCCTGCCGAGCAGCACACAGGAAATGCAGTCATGGCCGCCATATTGTCTGCCAAAGGATTTGTATATCTGCTGGGAGGGCAGGAGGCCTGATCTTCTCTGCTGCAGTTAAGTCACACTTACAGGTCTTGGCAATCACACGCATTTCACAGCAATCGTGGGTTCAAATCAGGTGGTGAGGAGGCGACATATTGCCTCACCACCACCACCACCCACCTGTCAAACACACATCGCTTGCACTCAGGAGATTTGGCGTACTTTCAGAACGTGCAGCAAACCCGCAGGATGTGAGAGAAGATCATGATTCTCCACTCCAGTCCTAGCCTGTTGTAGAACACCGATTCTCCATCCCAATCCTAGCCTGTTCTAGAACACCGATTCTCCACCCCAGTCCTAGCCTGTTCTAGAACACCGATTCTCCACTCCAGTCCTAGCCTGTTCTAGAACACCGATTCTCCATCCCAATCCTAGCCTATTCTAGAACACCGATTCTCCACCCCAGTCCTAGCCTGTTCTAGAACACCGATTCTCCACTCCCCAGTCCTAGCCTGTTCTAGAACACCGATTCTCCATCCCATCCTAGCCTATTCTAGAACACTGATTCTCCACCCCAGTCCTAGCCTGTTGTAGAACACCGATTCTCCATCCCAATCCTAGCCTGTTCTAGAACACTGATTCTCCACTCCAGTCCTAGCCTGTTGTAGAACACCGATTCTCCATCCCAATCCTAGCCTATTCTAGAACACTGATTCTCCACCCCAGTCCTAGCCTGTTGTAGAACACCGATTCTCCATCCCAATCCTAGCCTGTTCTAGAACACTGATTCTCCACTCCAGTCCTAGCCTGTTGTAGAACACCGATTCTCCATCCCAATCCTAGCCTGTTCTAGAACACTGATTCTCCACTCCAGTCCCAGAACACTGATCCTAGCCTGTTCTAGAACACTGATTCTCTCCAGTCCTAGCCTGTTGTAGAACACCAATTCTACATCCCAATCCTAGCCTGTTCTAGAACACCGATTCTCCACCCCGGTCCTAGCCTGTTCTAGAACACCGATCCTCCACCCCGGTCCTAGCCTGTTCTAGAACACCGATTCTCCACCCCAGTCCTAGCCTGTTCTAGAACACAGATTCTCCACTCCAGTCCTAGCCTGTTCTAGAATACTGATCTCCACCCCAGTCCTAGCTTGTTCTAGAGCACCGATTTTTGCACTCCAGTCCTAAAGTACTGCCAGCTGGTCTTTTTTGGAGGATTTTCCCATAGTATTACATTTTGGAGTGACTACTCAAGTGATATTACAGATTAAATGACTTCGACCTTTTAAAAGAAATTCCAAAAACACGACCTTCAGATATGAGAAGTATTGCTCTAGGACATCATTGTATGAATATTATTAGACAGGATTTATGGCACCAACAGTTTGCACGGAACTTTACAATGTAATGGGGGACAGTACAATTCCAATACAGTTCTATACAGAAGGAATAGGAGTGCCCTGCCCATGGAGCTTACAATCTACAGGGGAAGGGGGGTGGTACAAAAGGTAATAGCTGCAGGGGCTGATCTTCTGGGAGTGATCTGATGGTTAAAGGCCTTTACCTCTTTATAGAGATGACTTCTTCTTTCTACAGAGGGATGATCTGCAGAACATCATGAACCAGTTAAAGATGAAGTACAATGCAGCCACTAGTGAGGTAAGTGCACTCATCTCATCATTCCCACCTGACAGTGACAGGAGCCCTTTATGTCGGGTTTTGGATGATTCCGAGTTTTGTATTCTTTGCACTTGTGTTTTAGCTGGAGACTCTGCGAACCTCCCTGGAATCATCGCGGGAAGACTGTTGGCGGCTGCATCGCGAAAGTGAACTGGTTGTCTCTAATGTCAATGAATGGGTCGGTGAACAAAAGTAAGTGCCATGGCTGGACCAAGACTGCCCATCATTTATACTGTGCTTAGTGGCTACAGGAAATACACCGCTCAAAAAAATGAAAGGAACACTTTGTAATCCGAGTCTAGCACCAAGTCAGTGACACTCCTGGGATATTGATGTGGTCAGGTAAGTAGCAAAGGGGGTTGTTCATCACTTTCAGCTGCTTTGGTGGTAATGATGGACAACAATGAGACGACCCCCAAAACAGGAATGATTTTACAGGTGGAGGCCACTAACATTTTTTTCTCTGCTCATTTTTTCTGACTGTTTTTCACTAGTTTTGCATTTGGTTAGGGTCAGTGTCACTACTGGTAGCATGAGGCCATACCTGGACCCTACAGAGGTTGCACAGGCAGTCCAACTGTATAAACAGAATCATGATGAAACAGATGGAGGTTTGCCTGAGGGCCCAAACGTCCTCTAGTGGCGCCCTGTTTGCTCACATGCCTGTGCAGAATTGGCAGGTCACCACCTCCTCCAGGATGGATCAATACCTGCCATTGCCAGAAGGTTTGCTGTGTCTCCCAACACAGTCTTAAGAGCATGGAGGAGATACCAGGAGACAAGAGCATGGAGGAGATTCCAGGAGACAGGCAGTTACTCTAGGAGAGCTGGACAGAGCAGTAGAAGGTGAATTCAAAGACACCCTGAAAATCAAACAATGGAGCATCCATACGTTCCTCACACATTACCCGTCTATGTCAGTATAGAGATCCAGGAGGAGATTTGTCCCCATTGAGATCTGATAGGTTTTCCACGTTCTCCTTTAATTTTTTTGAGCCGTGTACGTTGCGCCTCATCTAGAAAGTACAGATCCCAGTTGACTGACCCCCTGCCTTCAATACATTGGGGGAGATTTACTAAAAGTGGTGCACACACAATCTGGTGCAGCTCTGTATAGAAACCAATCAGCTTCCAGGTTTTATTGAACAAGCTGAAGTTAGAAGCTGATTGGCTGCCATGCACAGCCGCACCAGATTCTGGGTCCACCACTTGCAGTCAATCTCCCTCATTGTGTCACTGGCTTGGAACAAGCATGTATGTCCGTAAAGTCAGATGTTCCTGGTGGCGAGTTGGTGATGCATACCGTGGTAGAGTAAGGCTCAGCATGACGGCCAGGGAAATAGAATTTGCAGAATGAGAAGTCCAGCAGTGCAACCTCCGAGCTTTTCTCAGTTTTTTTTGACTGGACTAACTCTTCAATTCTCCAAAAGGAAAAGTCACCAAGATCTGCTGTTCCCAGCATGCACACTGTTCATTGGCTCACATTTACTATCGCTGTATTCCTCTGTCACAGGGAAGCCAACAAGTCTCTGGGGGAGAAGATCCGGGAGCAGAGTAAACAGATCCAGCAACTCTCTACAGAAAAAGAGTGAGTGTCAGACCTCATCTGTCCCATATGAACCCGCCCTTCCATTGTTTTTTTTTTTTTTTGGATCAAAGTTTACATGTTTAGGCAAGATACAGATCATTGTCAGATGGGTACTTTTGCCCTTTTTCCTCCATCTAGATGAATTTATGTTTTAAAAAGCCATAAAATGCCTTTAATCTGCAATTTATTTTATCAACTGTGAAACATGGTGGGGAATGCGCTTGTTTGTTTTTTACATGACTATAATGGCTAAGGAACATAAAGTTATGTTAACAGGGACCACGTGTTTTGACATTCAAGCATTCTACTGGAGCGAGGTTAACTAATTACTGATTGCCGTCCTCCCAAGGCTGTGACTCTACAGTCTCGTCTTCAGGGTGATGGCCCCAGTTTTTCCCCTAGTGTATTACCATGGTCAGAAGGCCTCCTATGGAACAAGCAGTCAAGGTGGGCCCTAGGGTAAAACATCTTTCTGGTCTAAATGTCTCCGAGATGCGTCTGGATCTTGTATCGGCAAAAATTGGTGCTGGAATATTTACATCTGCAGGCAACATACTTTCTCAGTAGATAGTATCCACAGCATTGTCGCTCTCATGAACCTTTCCCTTAGTTAGGAAGTTACCCGTCTCTAAGCAGTTCCAGGAGAGTTGTCTGTCAAGAGTCACCCTCTCCGAGGCACCCCCTTTTTCTCCCGTCATTTTTCAGTCTCCCTTAGCCCCTCCCTCTGCTGTTGAGGGTTAAAGCAGAACTCTGGGCAAAAACATCTTTACCTGTCCTTGTTGCCGATTTCCTACCTTCACCGAATATGTCCTCCATCTTCTGGTGCACTCAGCAGTTGCTCTGAAATAGCCGATTAATTTTCAGATCAAACTGTTAATTCTGTTTGGTTTCCTGTTTGTAAGACTGCTATGCCCCCTATTGCCCCAGCCACTGGTCTTGGCAAATCCCTTCTGTAGTTCTTTTTCCAAGAAGCAGTGATGTCATTCAGCCTCACTTGCAGTGGTGGGCAGACCGAGACACATTCAACACATACAGACCTAGTGTACCCACCCCCATTCACTACAATTCCTTGTGTTTGATGGGAACTGAAGTTTCCTTCTACTGCAGAGAGAGAGAGGAGAGGGTGTGATGTAATCTCAGCTGTTACTCCTCCTTGGCAGAGAAGATGCCGTTAGCTTTTGAATTTCAATGAAGACTTCCTGAAAATTAAATTTGACTTTTCTCGTTCCCAAATGTATTCACTGTTTAGTGTAGGGGTATACTAATTGTTGATTTTTTTTTTTTTTTGCCTATGCTGGAGTTTGTCTGAATTGTGTGCCCATGAAAATCAGGTAGCTCCTGGCCTGGTGCATCAGTATCCCAGTTTTGAGGTTGGAGAGGACTTCTCTTCTTAAGGAAGATCCTGTCTTTGGAGAGCTCTCATCTGCTGGTCTACATTCTGGAGTTCCAGAACAGGTGGCTCCTCCTACATTGCAGGGTCATTCGTTGGACAGGTCTCCTGATGCAGATACTATGGGAAAATGTTGCCCCTATCAGAGAAACAGGAGATCGTTCTTTGACAAGAGAGTTTGGATCCCAGCTTGGACAAAACCTTTTGTTTTAGTGCTCTGCTCACTTCAAGTGCAGTTTTCTGGAGGTCAGGTTTTCCTAACCGTGTGCTTCTGGACATGGGGGGAACGGTCCACACACCAAGCTGCATTTTAGATTGTTGTAGATCAGTGGTTCTCAAGCTTCCTAAGGCCGTGACCCTTTAATATAGTTCCTCATGTTGTGGTGACCCCCAACCATAAAATTATTTACCCAGTAATTATAATTCATGAGTGTCGTTTTACCTCCAATACTGCTGCTTTCAACACAGCAGCTGCTTTCAACACAGTAGCTGCTCTTTACACGTCAGAAATATGTGTTTTCCGATGGTCTTAGGCGACCCCTGTGAAAGGGTCATTCGACCCCCAAAGGGGTCGTGACCCACAGGTTGAGAACCACTGTTGTAGATGCAGGACATCACAGGAAGCTCATCAGTCATCTGCTTGCTGGAAAGGCTTGTTTCCCAATGTAGGAACCTTCTGGTAGTAGCAGAGAATGCTCTAGTGCCTCTGATCTTCACATTTGGGTCTAGGCCTTTCCTCTTTCGTTGTTTCAGAAGGCCTTTCTGTTGATTATTTTTTTGCTTTGGATTGACGTAGGTTAAGAATGTTATTTGCTGTCCTGATAAGACTCCTAACTGTGGCTCCATGCCTTGTTGGATCTGGGAAATGAAGAGTCACAGGCCCAGACATGCTCTTGAATGCTCCAGGGTAAGCAGAATTTTTCAGCAAGTTTTCCATCATGGCTTCAGCCCAAGGTTGCTTTTCTCCTTACAGACGACGAGAAGTTGAGCTTGGCCCTTCCAGTCTGTATTTTGGGGAGGAGATCTACTATCTCTTGCCTAATCCTGGTATGGGAAGCTCCCATGTACCTACCCTATTTGCTAATGTTGATGTGGAATCAAACTCAGATTTTTCAAGTTCTGTTCACGAGCCCCTTTTACACGCCTTGGAGGTTCTTATGACCAATCATCCTTTGGGCTCTTCACTGGTAGGTCTTACCTTGGCAAGATGGAGATCTGACAGTTCTTGTACCTTATGGGATCAGATGAGTTGAGGCTTGGTCCTTTCTCTAGCCTAGGGTGGCTCTGATCTTCCCTCTCATCAATTTTGGACTCCTCGGACCAGTCCCAGTTCGCAGGGAGGAGCTCCTTCTCCTTGCTGACCGTGCTGTTGGTTGGGTTAGGTAGACCAGTTCCTGATCTATGGTTTGGTGTCTATCCTCTCAGGTTGAGAAATTCCTTTCCAGGTTTGGCAGTATTTTCTTGGTCATCTGGCATCAGGGATAGTTCTGCATATTAACTTACTTGGTCTAGTTTTTCTCCTTACCAGGTTGGGGGGGGGGGGGGGGGGGTCAGCCTCATCCAACTTCCATTTTTAGTCTTTCTGGGAGCTCAGGCAGTCCCCAGTTCTCTTATCAATGTTGAGAATGTTAGCTGTTGCTAATCCCTCTTTTGGACATCCCAAAGGTGAAAGATTCCTCTGTCCCTCAGTGGACAAGAAAGAAAAGATTTTTGTATTCACTGTAAAATAATTTTCTTTTAGGCACACAGGTCCCACCCCTCTGTGATTTTGGTCATGCTCTTGGTACTACTTGCTACAAAACTGGGGCATGCTTGGTAGTAGGAGAGGCTATCTTGGGCTGGCCTACAATTTTGTGGAGTTTTTTTTTGTTTGCCAGTGTCTGGGGTATTCTGCCACCTACAGGAATACTAAAGACAAAACATCCTTTGGCCCTCAATGGGGAACAATAGGCAAAACCTTTTTCTTTTAATTTTGGATGCAGTAAGGGAGGAGTAGAAGCCATGTCAGTTTTTTTTTTTTTTGTTTTTTTTATGCCAACTGTGTTCCATTGAGGAGATTTCAATTCACTTCCTGTCAAATAGCCAAACAGGAAGTGAGAAGAAATCCCTGCAAATTAAGGGAATTCCTTGGGGACCCTCAAGTCATAGGAACTAGTTTCCCCACTGGAAGGTTTCCCCTCTATTACCCTTCTGGGGACAACCCAAAGTTTTGGATTTTCTTTTAATTTCAATGATAATGGTAAACAGGACAAATAGAGAGGGTGAATATCCCTAACGGGGGCACAGAGAGCAAAAAAAAAAACTGACAGGGGGTCTAATCCCTCCCCACTCCATCCAAAACTAAAAAAAAAAAAAGTTTTGCCTTTGATTATACTTTAACCCCCATTACGCCTAAGGGTAAAACAGATCTAAATGCCTAAGCACAATTTTGCAACGTTGACCGGTGTTAGTAAAACCGTCCGTATCATCACAACTACTTTGTACATCCAGGTGGATTAGACCGTGTTTTTTTTTCCAGGACAAATTGGGCTTTCATTTGGTGCTAAATGGTAATGGATATCTCCTGATTTTATTTTTTATCAAAGGAAAACTGGCCCAAAATAACAAAAAAATTTTTTTTTTTTTTACTGTGTGTTTCTTGTTACTACCATAACCTACCGCCAAAGAACAACCCAAAATAAATTCTCCAGCTCTTGACGATCGCAGCGATACCCTCTATGTGGATGTTATTTGTTGTTTGTACCCGGAGTACAGCCCAGACACAATAGCACACTTTTTTTTTTTTTACCTAAAACATACTGACACTGATACCAATTTTTTTTTTTTTAAATCCTAACCTTTTGACATTGACCTTTGACCCTGACCTTGTTCCAAACAACCCTGGCACTAAACCAGACCAAACTTTGATCTAGGGATTTTTTAATTATCTTTTTCATTCTCTCTATGCCAGGAGTTAGTAAGATACAATGTATAACGGAATGTATATAATGATACAATGTATAATGGGATGTATATAATGATACAATGTATATAACGATACAATGTATAACGGGATGTATGTAACGATACAATGTATAACGGAATGTATGTAACGATACAATGTATAACGGAATGTATATAATGATACAATGTATAATATAATGTATATAATGATACAATGTATAATGGGATGTATATAATGATACAATGTATCTCTCTTCTCCATTCATAGAGCGAGAAAAAAAAACAAGGGGGCCAGCCGTACAGTGACTGATCACTGTGATAGCCAATCAGAGGCTATCATAGCAATCATGTGACTCGGAATTGGGAGTCCAGGGTCCCGATTGTTAGAACGGGACCCGGGGCTCTCAGTGACACCCTGGTCTCTGTGCTGGGAGCGCGCCGAGCACAGGTACGCAAATATGCGGCCCCATGGAAAAAAGCCCAGTTCTGTGAGGCGGCATATTTGTGTGACGTCAGAGTCAAGGGGTTAAAGATAGATTTTACAGTGAATATAAAAATCCTAATCCAGGCGTATCTCGGTTTATGAACGCTTCGGTTAACGTAATTTCCGGTTTACGAATGAAAATAACGGCTCGGTTTATCAATTTGTTTCGCAATACGAATGGAATAATTGGTTTTCAGTGCATTTACAAACTTTTTTTTTTTTAGTCGTGTCGCTTTATGCCTTTATAGTGCACTTTATAAAGAGCTTTGAACAGATAAGACTTTTTTTCTGACCTCCGGAACGGATTAATTGGTTTTCAATGCATTCGTATGGGAAACCGCATTTCAGTTTACAAATTTTTTGCAATACAAAAAGTCCCGCAGAACGAATTAAATTCACAAACCGAGGTACGCCTGTACATGCACTATCACATCTGAGTGACCGAGCCTTACTCTGTATTGTCTGTTGACTGCCCAGCCACATGCAGGAGGTGATTGAACAGCTGCAGAGAGAGAACAGACATCTGAGGACCCTGGAAGATGAGAGGCGCATAGAGCATGAGCGCTACAAGGTGAGCTGTGGGACGGGGGAGGGAAGACCGATGAAATGACATGGCACCCATTTAGTAAATGGCTTTATATCTTTTTTTTTTTTTTTTCTTACAGCTGTCACTGCGGCAGTCAGACTTGGAACTCCATCATCCCTCTGAGGAACCAGGGTGAGTACAAGATCCACAGCGGCCCTTTCTAGGTCTCTGCACAAACCACTGACTAATATCTCTGCAGGTCTCTGCGCTCTGCCAGAAGAATATTCACCAGTGCTGGAAACCTCAGGACAAAGCCGCGTGGAGGCTCATGATGCCGAGGTCATGCCTATCTACCTCCTGTATGCCAGGCACCAGAGAGAGAGCGCACGACCACACTAAAAACTAAAGCTGCTTTTACATTCCCACCTTACAGACCACAGGTGCTAAGACCCAGGGGCCCCCAAATATATCTGCTCCATAATGGGAACAAAGAGAATCTCCTCCAGCCCGGGACTCTACCGCTCCATTCACATTTGTGCGACTTGGGCTGTGGACGGAGTCAAGAGAAAGAAAAAAACCGTACGCAAGCGCTCAAGTCCGTGCGTTTCCCAGGACCACAGTAACAGACACTTGTTGGGGTGCAGCCCTCTAAAGACGGGGGAATCTTGAAAATACTGGAAGAAAAGAAGGGGCGCACTCTCCTCGTGCATTACTGCGATAAAAACAAATTTATTTAAAATGACAAAAATCTGACAGCGGGTTGTTCCAACGCGTTTCGGGAGACATACTCCCTTCTTCAGAGCTCGTCTCCCAAAACGCGATAGCACACCCCGCTGTCAGATTACCGCTTTGTCGGACTATCACGCTGGTTTTCAGCTTGTTTTATGAACCTCGGTTTGTGAGTATATACATTTTTGTCATTTTAAATAAATTCCTTTTTATCGCGGTAATGCCCGAGGAGAGTGCGCCCCTTCTGTGCTTTCTGGGGCTGTGGACTGCTGCACATCGATAATATGAAGATTTGAATTTTGAGAGTTCACATTGCAGTCTGTGAGACCCAAGTTGCACCAACATGGTGCACGGGGGCGGACTGACAACTCATGGGGCCTCCGGGCAATAGGAGATCATGGAGCCCCTGTGTCCTTGCCCAAACTCAAAAAAGCCTATGAAAAAGGTACCAGGGGCATCTCATGGGGCCCCCTACTGACCCCGGGCCCTCAGGCAGTGGCCAAGTTTCCAAATGGTCAGTCCGCCCCTAGTGGGTGCAGGAACCTTCTTGGCGCCTTCCGGCCCTTGAAGAGTTTCAGAAGGCAGGGCGGGGTTTTAGGGTCATGTGACCACCGTGATTCGCTGTCACAAGATCAGAAAACGTCCCGATCGCAAGGGGAGATCGGGACCTTTCCGTGAGACACGGACATATGCCGTGCGAGCTCTCAGCACATATGTATTTTCAAATGGTACGCAAATATGCAGCCGCTCAGCGTCAAGGCCCAGACACCAATAGGACGCATATTTGCGTGCGCTCGGTGTCTAGGGGTTAAGGTGGCACAGAATTGAATGGCTTCCATTAAAGTACATGGGCTGCGAGTCGCACACGTGTGAATGGCGCCTTCAAATTTTTAGTTATGATCTCATGCAACCAGTCGGACAAGGGTGGTTGATGGGGGTAGGCAGGGGCGTATTTATCACAAGGCGAACACGGCACTTGCCTAGGGTGGCATTTTTTAGGGGGGCCAGCATCTCCCCCCAGAAGAAGGGATGAAAGAAGGGATACGCACATCATGGGAACCAGGTGGGATCTGAGAGGGGCTGCTTGATGGTGTATGTAGAGCCACTTTCATTCCTGGGGCTGTCCAGAGCTGTGAATATGAGTGTAGTTCTCTCTATCGCCAGGTGGGGGGGGGGGTAGTGGGAGGCTCTCCCTGGTGGGGGGTAGGGGTGTTTGTTGGTCAATGTCAAGAGGGGAAGTAGGGGTGGTGTTGGTCGGTGTCCATGGGGGCAGGAGATTTTTGTGTTGCCTAGGGCAGCACAAAACCTAAATACACCACTGGGGGTAGTATATATTAGAATATAAATTGCTGACACCCCATTGGTCACTATGAGAAACAAACACCCTCCCCCTTTCTATTGCCATTTTGTACAAGGCACAGAAGTCCCATCTATCAAAGAGAACCTGTCCCTGGAAAACGGGGCTGTACTGAGCACAGTGCGTATGGTGTTGTGTACAGAGGAGCGCACTCCGGCATGATACACCTTCTACTCATCTATTGGCTCAGTGTGAACAAGGGTCCTACGACCAATGCATGAGGTTAAAGGAGGCGGTCACCTTTGGGAACATGTCACATGACTTCTGGGTGAAGCTGGCCCCTCCCACCACCCCCCCCATAAACACTACGGCTGTAAATAGTTTTCGGTTTCTTGGCTCTGATTGGTTCTGTCTGGACGTCCAACACTGTGAATTGAACTTGTCAATGCTGCGAGCACAAACAATCATGGCACTGGGTGTGTTTTTTTATATTTATAAATCAGATGTAAATCATTTTAATATATTTTATATTATTTTGTAATAAATTAATGTCACTATTTATTTTACTATCAGTCTCTGAGAACTAACAAGGTGACAGGATTCGTGTCTTCATTCACAGCGGATATTACCCCAGAAGCGAAGATAGCGGGCGGCTTACATTTATAGTACTTCATAAATACATTCATTTTGTTCTCTTCCTAAACTGACCACACCGAGCATGAAAGCGGATCTGTTCTGTACTGGTCAGTTTGAGTCCCTCTGATTGCTGCCAGGAAATAAAGGAACTGCGAGCAGCAGAAGGGCTCATTCACACGAGTGCAGCACTAGAGTAGACGACCCATCACTGCCGGGGCACAAACAATTGTTTTCTCTGTGGCCCATTCACACTGTAATGCAGCCGGCAGGTGGGGGCCCCATATGGAAGAAAAATATATTATAAAAAATATTCTTCCCAAGTATATTGCCATATATTTGAAATGCTACAATTTTGGTATTCAAAACATTTCAATAAAAATATATCTACTGCATAGTAAAATACGTTTTTATTACAAAATTTTTTTAAAAAAATATTTTTCATACATTTCAATATACTGTATGTCTAAAATTACAAATCTACATTTTTGGAACGCATTTACAAATATATGTAAAAATATATGTTAAAATTACTTTTTATGTAAAAAAAAAAAAAAAGGTCTGAATATATTTTTAAAAATATTTTTTTAAATATATTCTTCAGATTTTTAACGTATAAAAAAAGTCATTTTAACATATTTTTACATATATTTGTAAATGCGTTCCAAAAATGTAGATCTGTATTTTTAGACATACAGTATATTTGAAATGTATTTTTACAAATATTTTTCAAATATTTTGTAATAAAACGCATTTCAACATGATATACAGTCATGGCCGAAATTGTTGGCACCCTTGATATTTTTCCTGAAAATCAAGTATTTCACACAAAAAAGGTATTGCATTAACACATGTTTTGCTATACACATGTTTATTCCCTTTGTATGTATTGGAACAAATATAAAACAGAGGCAGAAAAGCAAATATGACATAATGTCACACAAAACCCCAAAAATGGGCTGGACAAAAGTATTGGCACCCTTAACTTAATATTTGGTTGCACACCCTTTGGAAAACATAACTGAAATCAGTCGCTTCCTATAACCATCAATAAGCTTCTGACACCTCTCACCCGGAATTTTGGACCACTCTTCCTTTGCAAACAGCTCCAGGTCTCTCTTATTGGAAGGACACCTTTTCCCAACAGCAATTTTAAGATCTCTCCACAGGTGTTCAATGGGATTTAGATCTGGGCTCATTGCTGGCCACTTCAGAACTCTCCAGCGCTTCTTTGCCATCCATTTCTGAGTGCTTTTTGACGTATGTTTGGGGTCATTGTCCTGCTGGAAGACCCAGGATCTTGGACGCAAACCCAGCTTTCTGACACTGGGCCCTACAGTGCGACCCAAAATCCTTTGGTAATCCTCAGATTTCATGATGCCTTGCACACAGTCAAGGCACCCAGTGCCAGAGGCAGCAAAACAACCCCAAAACATCATTGAACCTCCACCATATTTTACCGTAGGTACTGTGTTTTGTTCTTTGTAGGCCTCATTCCGTTTTCGGTAAACAGTAGAATGATGTGCTTTACCGAAAAGCTCTATCTTGGTCTCATCTGTCCACAAGACGTTTTCCCAGAAGGCTTTTGGCTTACTCAAGTACATTTTGGCAAACTGTAGTCTTGCTTTTTTATGTCTCTGTGTCAGCAGTGGGGTCCTCCTGGGTCTCCTGCCATAGCGTTTCATTTCATTTAAATGTCGACGGATAGTTCGCGCTGACACTGATGCTCCCTGAGCCTGCAGGACAGCTTGAATGTCTTTGGAACATGTTTGGGGCTGCTTATCCACCATCCGGACTATTCTGCGTTGCAATCTTTCATCAATTTTCCTCATCCGTCCACGACCAGGGAGATTAGCTACAGTGCCATGGGTTGCAAACTTCTTGATAATGTTGCGCACTGTGGACAAAGGCAAATCTAGTTCTCTGGAGATGGACTTGTAACCTTGAGATTGTTGATATTTTGCCACAATTTTGGTTCTCAGGTCCTCAGACAGTTCTCGTCTCCTCTTTCTGTTGTCCATGCTTAGTGTGGCACAGACGGACACACAATGCAAAGGTTAAGTGAACGTCTCTCCTTTTTATCTGCTTTCAGGTGTGATTTCTATATTGCCCACACCTGTTACTTGCCCCAGGTGAGTTTACAGGAGCATCACATGCTTGTAACATTCTTATTTATCCGCAGTTGTGAAAGGGTGCCAATACTTTTGTCCAGCCCATTTTTGGAGGTTTGTGTGACATTATGTCGAATTTGCTTTCTTTCCTCCCTTTTTTTGTTTTGTCCCAATACACACAAAGGGAATAAACATGTGTATAGCAAAAACATGTGTTAATGCAATACGTTTCGTGAGAAATACATGATTTCCTGGAGAAATATCAAGGGTGCCAACAATTTCGGCCATGACTGTATATATATATATACCGTATTTTTCGCTTCATGAGACGCACTTTTTCCCCCCCCAAAAAAGGGGGGAAAATGTCAGTGCGTCTTATGGAGTGAATGTGGAGCGGCCGGTCCGGTATTTCCACCGCTGCCGCTGTGTCAGAATACCGGGCCGGCCGCTCGTCTCTTCTCTGCAGCAGAACCTTACCTGTTCCTTGGTCCAGAGATGAGAAGGCTTCCCGCGCCGGCTTCTTTAGTGTGGGCTCTCAGCTGTGACAACCGGGTGCCCAGTGCGCATGCGCGGGAAGCGCTGTGCTTTGTGAATGGTATGGCGTCTTCTGAAACACATGACAGGTCCCAGAAGACGCCGGACCAATCACAAAGCGCAGCACTTCTCACACATGCACAGTGGGCACCCGGTTGTCAGCCGGGTGCCCACACTAAAAGGGAGGATAACTCCGCAGAAGTGGGAGCGGGTACCTGTCAAATTCAGGTACCCGCTTCCCCTCCCTCCCCAAAGGTCTGCAGTCTCTGACCATCTCCTGTACTGTGTCCGCAGTCTCTGGTCATCCCCTGTACTGTGTCGGCAGTCTCTGGTCATTTCATGTACTGTGTCGGCAGTCTCTAGTCATCCCCTGTACTGTGTCCGCGGTCTCTGACCATCTCCTGTACGGTGTCTCTGCAGTCTCTGACCATCTCCTGTACTATGTCCGCGGTCTCTGACCATCTCCTGTACTATGTCCACAGTCTCTGGTCATCCCCTGTACGGTGTCTGCAGTCTCTGACCATCTCCTGTACTGTCCGCAGTCTCTGGTCATCCCCTGTACTGTTTCCACGGTCCCCGGTCTCTGGTCATCTCCTGTACGGTGTCCGCAGTCTCTGGTCATCCCCTGTACTGTGTCTGCAGTTTCTGGTCATCTCCTGTACTGTGTCTGCAGTCTCTGGTCATCTCCTGTACTGTGTCTGCAGTCTCTGGTCATCTCCTGTACTGTGTCCACAGTCTCTGGTCATCCCCTGTACGGTGTCTGCAGTCTCTGGTCATCTCCTGTACTATGTCCACAGTCTCTGGTCATCTCCTGTACTATGTCCACAGTCTCTGGTCATCTCCTGTACTGTGTCCGCAGTCTCTGGTCATCTCCTGTACCGTGTCCGCAGTCTCTGGTCATCTCCTGTACGGTGTCTGCAGTCTCTGGTCATCTCCTGTACTGTGTCTGCAGTCTCTGGTCATCTCCTGTACTGTGTCTGCAGTCTCTGGTCATCTCCTGTACTGTGTCTGCAGTCTCTGGTCATCCCCTGTACGGTGTCTGCAGTCTCTGGTCATCCCCTGTACTGTCCGCAGTCTCTGGTCATCTCCTGTACGATGTCTGCAGTCCATTGGTTCAGAATATTTTTTTTCTTGTTTTCCTCCTCTAGAACCTTGGTGCATCTTATGGAACAAAAAACACGGTATAAGAATATGGCCAAAATTGTAGCATTCCAAATATATTTTTCTTCCATGTGGAGTGCAGGGAGCTGCGGTGAAGACGACATGCTGCATTTTATTGCACCACAGTGGATGGTGCTGTACAGCTGTGCCTGAATGAATCACTTTGTGTGCTTGCCAAAAAAAAAGGTAAGTGTGTAATGCAGTGAAACCTACCTCATACCACCCCCTTACCGCTGCAGCCGGGATGGATCGCTGCCTGCAAACTAGCCCACACTGGAGAGGTCAGTGATGAGGCTGCCACAGTCCTGGTCCTGACACAAGGAATCCTCAGACACCTGAAAGTGCTAATAAATGCAGAAGCAAACATTTACTATAGTGCATCTTACCAATTCTGAGATGTGGCGGCTGCATTTGTTTTATTATTTTTTTTAGGCTCGTTCCTTTAATTCTCACCTGGTGATCTGGCCAGGAAGTCTGTTTTTCAAAAGAACAAGCTCTCCTGCAGATGTAGCAGTTACAGGGATGAAACAAATCATTTAACTCCGACAAAAGGAGGGGGGGGGGGGGCTTACAATGATCAGGTTTAATTTAGCTGACACCTTTATCCCAAAAAAGGGGGAAAAAAAAAAAAAATGATAAAAAAGGTATTAGCTGGAGTTTGGCTTCAATTTGTTAATGTATTTAAATCTGCTAGTGCATCTGACACTCCTTATACCCTGGACTTACAATGCAGCTGTCCAAAGGTGCCCCCCTGCGTGCCTTCCTCCAGAGTGGGGGGGGGGGGCGCTCTAATACAGGAGGTGTGTTACTGGCCAGATCACCAGGTGAAAACAGGCTAAAAAAGAAAACTAATGCAGCCGCCTTAGCTAATGATTGGCAAGCTGCTGTATAAGATGGTATCAAACATTTTGGAGACTAGTTTTGTAACACACCAACACACAAGGCTGCACGCACAGTCACAGGGAGCACCGGCCTTCATAAGTCAGTGTGCCAAATATCATCATCCTGTGTACATCGGGAGCTGTGTAACTGGTGCTATGCTGACCACGTGCGTTACCACATCTGCTATGTCATCACGGACAGCAAGTCAGAAGAAAGAGAAAACATGAAATTCTACGTGAAAATCAGATCACTGGATCTCCGTAATGTTGTCAAAACGGCAACACTGGAGCTGGATCATCTTCAGAAAGAGGACATTTGCGGGAGTTGAGCTCATTGAAGGTCTTCCTGATCTCACCTGCAGTGATGTTCTTCTGCTCTTAAAAACACGCGTGTCGCTCAGAACACCGCAAACGACTCTTTGCAGCATTGCCGTAAAACCTGCCAAATCGTGACAAACATCTCTGTGGCAGATCTGCCCAGTTTCATGCAGAAATTCACATTTGCTCTGACTTGCTGTCCGTGATGAAATATCAGACGTGATCAGTATAGCACCAGTTGCACAGCTCCCGATGTACACGGGACGATGTCTTTTTGCACACTGACTTAAATGTTACTAAACCCACAACAGTGAAATCAGTCTGTAGCTGCAGTAAAGCGTGCTTGTTATACTCACTGTGCAACTGAAGGGGTTAATCCTCCACATTGTGTAAAAAGGCTGTTTGATCCTGTCTTCTTTGATCCTCCCCTTCTTCTACTGTCCCCAATCCATCTGCTGATAGAACAGAGCCTTGGGGGCAGGCTGCACATGCTCAGGTTGGAGTGTATTGCTAGAGATCAGCACAGGGCCAATCAGCACGTTCCAGACAGAGGGTCAGGGGTCATGCAGCCTTATAAGACAGTCAGAGGAGAATGAAAGCTCCTCCTATAAGCTTTAACCAGTGCTCTGCTGGACACTGATAGAAGTCACAAGACTGCTCTAACTGCTGATGAGAAAAGGGATTTAGCAGTTTATATTTACTAAAATAATTGCATTTCCATGTTCTGTGTACTGTGGGAGACCAGATATAGTGAATGCGGAGCCCGGGGAGAGCGGATACGGCGAATGCGGGGTCCGGGGGAGAGCGGACACGGCGAATGCGGGGTCCGGGGCAGAGCGGACACGGCGAATGCGGGGTCCGGGGCAGAGCGGGACACGGCGAATGCGGGGTCCGGGGCAGAGCGGACACGGCGAATGCGGGGTCCGGGGCAGAGCGGACACGGCGAATGCGGGGTCCGGGGCAGAGCGGACACGGCGAATGCGGGGTCCGGGGCAGAGCGGACACGGCGAATGCGGGGTCCGGGGCAGAGCGGACACGGCGAATGCGGGGTCCGGGGCAGAGCGGACACAGGTCCGGGGCAGAGGGGACACGGCGAAACGCCGGGTCCGGGGCAGAGGGGACTCGGCGACACGCCGGGTCCGGGGCAGAGGGGACTCGGCGAACGGGGTCCGGGGCAGAGGGGACTCGGCGAACGCCGGGTCCGGGGCAGAGGGGACTCGGCGAACGCCGGGTCCGGGGCAGAGGGGACTCGGCGAACGCCGGGTCCGGGGCAGAGGGGACTCGGCGAACGCCGGGTCGGGGCAGAGGGGACTCGGCGAACGCCGGGTCCGGGGGCAGAGGGGATCTCGGCGAACGCCGGGGTCCGGGGCAGAGGGGGCACGGCCAATAGCCGGGTCTCGGCGGGTCCGGGGCGCACGGCCAAATAGCCGGGTCCGGGGCAGAGGGACACGGCGAATAGCGGGGTCCGGGGAGAGCGGACACGGCGAACGCCGGGTCCGGGGAGAGCGGACACGGCGAATGCGGGGTCCGGGGAGAGTGCAAATAGCGAATGCGGGGTCCGGGGAGAGCGGAAATAGCGAATGCGGGGTCCAGGGAGAGAGGATATAGCGAATGTGGGGTTTAATAACACTTTATGAAGGTCGGTGCTCCCTGTGACTGTGTTTGTGCAGCCTTGTGCCATTGTTGGCACAAAACAAGTCTCAAAATATTTTGATACCACCATATATTACTGTTTTGGGTTTAATATTGCTGTAAATGAGTTCTGTGATAACTGGAACACAGACAAGGTTGTCACAGTATGAAAAAAAAAATCTGCTCACGCCGGACTGGAGAGACTTCCAGGACTGGCAATAATCTGGCACGGATCTACCAACAGCCGCTGAAAATCTTCCAAATCAAGCAAATATCCCAGCAGACATCTGTGCTCCCGAGGACACGAAGCATAACTGGCAAGGAGTGAGGCTAGAGGGGTTCTGCTCCTCACTTTATGTACCTGGAGTCCATTTCTCCTGCAGGCAGCAATATAACTAACCAATCCGTGTCCCTCAATGGATGAGAGAGAGAAAAAGCCTTAAAAAGGAAAGCTAATGCAGCCGGGACATCCAAGGACTGCAGAGCTGAAATCTATTGTAATGTTTCAGGTTTGGTTACAATGTAATTCTGTTATCACCGACCTGTGCTTATCGGGGGGGGGGGTTTCCCCCGCAGGACAGCCCCTGAGCATTACATGACACCGGAGACACGGAAAGCGCCGTCTGCAATGATCACTGAAAGCTCGGATATTCTTTCCGGCGACGTTGTGGATAAATAAGCGCTGCACTCTGACACCATCAGAACAAAAGATATGTTATTGCTTAAAAATAACATTCCACTTTACAATAAAACTGTATGAAAACACTGTCCTTCACAAAGCTATCGAGTCCCAGATTTCATCAGTGAGTAGAGAGCCCCCCCTCCAGGGAAATGATTTGTGGGGGGGGGGGATGGGGTACAAGAATGTCCTCACAGGCCAAACCGTGCGGGGGTGCGGCGAGGGGTCCCCTGCTCCAGCTGCTCTTTCCTCCCCGGTGTGTAGATCTTTACTGACCTGCGGAGACAAGAAACACGAGTGAGAATTCCTTCATAACATTCTAAGCGGTGGAACCGCAACACTAGGAGGTCCAGCCACCAATCTCCAGTAATATGGATGTGCTGCAACCAAACACAATACCCCGGGGGGGGAGTGCACTCTCATCCTTGTCACCATTCACCAGGGCGGGGGGTCTTCAAACTGTGGCCCTTTACTTGACTTTATCTGGTCCTAGGGCACTATTCCTTCTACTGATATGAGGAATTATTCCTCCCACTGATACCAACAGTAGGGGCGCTATTCCTCTCACTGACACCGACGATGGGGCACTATTCCTCTCACTGACACCGACGATGGGCACTATTCCTCTCACTGACACCAATGATGGGGCACTATTCCTCCCACTGATACCAATGATGGGACACTATTCCTCCTACTGACACCAATGATGGGCACTATTCCTCCCACTGATACCAATGATGGGGCACTATTCCTCCCACTGACACCAACGATGGGGCATTATTCCTCCCACTGACACCAACGATGGGCACTATTCCTCCCACTGACACCAATGATGGGGCACTATTCCTCCCACTGATACCAATGATGGGGCACTATTCCTCCCACTGACACCAACGATGAGGCACTATTCCTCCCACTGACACCAACGATGGGGCACTATTCCTCCCACTGACACCAACGATGGGGCACTATTCCTCCCACTGACACCAACGATGGGGCACTATTCCTCCCACTGACACCAACGATGGGGCACTATTCCCCCACTGACACCAACGATGGGACCACTTTAAAGTGCCCCTGTACTGCAAGTATGCACAGTGGTGTACTTAGGTTTTGTTCTGCCCTAGGCAACACAAAAACCTGATGCCCCTCCCCGGCAGAGAGACAGCCTGACACCAACAACAGACACCCAACCCCTCCCTCCTGAGATCCTGACAGTGACTAACAACATCCCTGCCCCATTCCCCACCCAAGAGAGCTTCCATTAACATCCACCCCCCACGGCGACAGAGAAACACTCACCTTCACAGCTCTGGACATCCCCGAGAACAGTGGGGCTCTGCATACACCATCAAGCAGCCCACAGCTATCCTCTCAGATCCTACCTGGTCCCCATGTCACATGTGTCCCTTCTAATAGGGGGCAGTGCTGCCCCCCTACAAATGTCACCCTAGACAAATGCCTTGTGGTAAATACGCCGAGTGGTGTATAGGGGGAAGATAGAAAAGGCACATGCCGTAGTATATTCATCCAATACTGGAATCTATAGGAGCCCTGGACTCTGGTCAATGTGCCTCCATACCAGTTATATCACTGGAAGACAAGTCTGGGGGTCCCTTTGGGAACCTCCATATGCCGCCCCCCCCCCCCCCCCCCCCCCCCATCCCCCCAGTAGCTGCCTCTCTTACATTGATTTCATTGTGTGGAAGTTGCAGCACACGGATGTATAAACCGGACAAACCTGGATACTGCAGTGAGTGGTGCTTTTCTTGTCCTGCTCCTCTTTCCTCGCTCGAAGTTGTTCTTCCGCCATTATCATCTCCTCCTCCCATGGCTGAACACCTCCTCCTTTCGGTCCGGCGTGTCTGTTCTCCTGAATGGCACAATGAGGAGAATTCATTTACTCGCTGTTATAATCGTCTCTTCTTAGAACCCAGTGTTAATATTTATATACACACACAACCACATAATAGTATACACACACACACATATATACATACACACACATAACACACACATATAACACATACATAATACATACATATACATACACACACACACATATATATACACACACACACACACATATAATATTATATATACACACACATAATACACATATACACACACTACACACATATACACAACATAATAACAATACATACATAATATAAATATTTTACACACAATATATACACACACATATAAAAAGTGAAAAGCTAAAAAATTTAGAAATATGGTGCAAAAGTTCATTTATTTCAGTGCAGCAACTTAAAAAGGTGAAAAACAAATATTATGAGATAGACTATTACAATGCAAAGCAAGATAGTTCAAGCCGTGATTTGTTTCATCATTTGAGAAATTAATGGCTTACAGCTCATGAAAAAACCCAAATCCACAATCTCAGAAAAATGAGAAGAATATTGTGAAACAGGTGGAAAATTCTCGTAGATTCAAAGTGTCCCACTCTAATCACTCAGCTCATTCAGCCATTTAACACCTGCAAAGGGTTCCTGAGCCTTTAAATGGTTCTCTCAAGTCTGGTTTTCAGTAGGAATCGCGATCATGGGAAAGACTGCTGACCTGACACAAATAATCACAAACACCCTCCATAAAGGATGGAAAGCCTCAAAAGGGCGAATTGCAGAAGAAGTTGGAATGTTCCAAAAGTGCTGGTATCAAACACATTAATAGAAAGTTATGGTGGGGGTTAGGGAAAAACTGTGGAAGAAAAATTTGGTGCACATTGCATGCAGGACATACAGACAGCAGTGTGGGAGGATGTGTGGTGGGGACAACTCAAGGTGCTGGGGAGGCTGAACCAACATGAGGGCTAACTTTGGAGATGGGGGGAGTCCTCATAATAATGTTGTGTGGTGTGTTTGTGTGTAAAAAATTCTTCATATAAAAAAAACACAAAAAAACAACACCACAAAAAAACCACAAAAAAAAAAAACCACAACCATCACACACACACAAAACACACAACTAACACACAACACCCCACAAAACACATATATACACACACACAAAACATATCACACACATATATACACCAACACACACAACAAAATTTACATATATACACACACACACACACACACAATATATATTGACACACACACATGAACTACCATACATATATATAATAACACCACACACACACACACATATAGTAACACACACACAATCACACCACATATAATCACACACACACAACACTTTACAAAGACAAACACACACATAACACAAAATTACTATACACACACAACAACACATATATACCCCTCATCAATATATCACAAAACACACCCACACACAAAAAACATAATAACACACAAACAACACACACATATAACACACACACACACCACACATATATATACACACACACATTGTATATATTGTGTGTGTATATATATATTAAATATGTGTGCTATATGTGTGTGTGTGTATATCATGTGTGTAATATGGGTGTGTGTCCAACATGTGTGCCGTGTGGTATACTATGTGTGGTGTGTGTAAATTTATGTGTGTGTGGGTGTGTGTTAACATTGTGTGTTGTATATATTGTGTGTGTATATATTCCAGTGTGTGTATAACTCAATGTACAGGCCATATGTGAAAGAGCTGACAGTGACACGGGACAACTACATTTGAATGTATGAAAAGAGTAATGACTCTGCGATGTCCAATCATACAAGACCACCTTGGCACTTGGGGGCCGATCTAATTACTTTGCTAGGGAGGTTATTTGTAAGGTTACCTACAAGGGATTGTAAAATGCAGATTTGATGGTTCAGCATCTGGAAGGGAACATTATTGACATATTTAAGGATGAAGAATAATCTGACCATACAGGAAGTATTTATTGAGGGTGATTAGACTCGAGGAGGTATTCATGGGACAGGTAAACACTGCAGTGACCTTAAACTTATGTACAGGAATGACAAATGAAGTGTTTTCATGGTAACATCAACAGACAACCAGACCCTCCCAGCTTTACTCACTGATATGTCAGATGGAAGGTTGGGCTGATAGTTTATTTTTTTTCCCCATTTATTGATGATGGAAGCCCAGGGCCTAGGAGAGGACATGCATGGAAGCCCAGGCCTAGGAGAGGACATGCATGGAAGCCCAGGCCTAGGAGAAGCATGGAAGCCCAGGCCTAGGAGATGCATGGAAGCCCAGGCCTAGGAGAAGCATGGAAGCCCAGGCCTAGGAGAAGCATGGAAGCCCAGGCCTAGGAGATGCATGGAAGCCCAGGCCTAGGAGAAGCATGGAAGCCCAGGCCTAGGAGATGCATGGAAGCCCAGGCCTAGGAGATGCATGGAAGCCCAGGCCTAGGAGATGCATGGAAGCCCAGGCCTAGGAGATGCATGGAAGCCCAGGCCTAGGAGATGCATGGAAGCCCAGGCCTAGGAGATGCATGGAAGCCCAGGCCTAGGAGATGCATGGAAGCCCAGGCCTAGGAGATGCATGGAAGCCCAGGCCTAGGAGATGCATGGAAGCTGCCCAGGCGTGTATTATAGGTGGGATATAAATGCTGGACGTGTAGGGCCTCTATGCTTGCTATGACAGGAGACAGGGGGCTCCCTGAAGGTGTCCTAGGTGCAGGAATATTCTATGTAGCCTGTCGCCTGCCTTGTCTGTAGCTCTGCCTTGCGGATTATTCAGGAACCAATAAAATGTCTCTGTGGAAAAGAACCATTGAACGTGTTGCTGCGGGGAAATACATTTCTTGGATAGAGGAGTTTTACATTCCATATCGGCTACTCAGCAAGAATTCTCACTCCTCATCCTCACATGAGGTATATGACAACACCCAGTATGGTCAGTGCAGATAACTCGCAGCAATCCCAGAAGGGTCAGCAATGGCGGCCACCATATTTCTGTAGGAGGGACCTTCTCCTAAGAGAACATCCAAGCTAGGCAGGAAGATCAAGCCTTGTTTCAACAGTTCCGTCCACCAATCAGGGGAAGAGATTACAGAAACATTGCTCACCCACCTGTCTGGACTTCCCAGCATGCTTTATATACTGTAGAACATCGGGCCGAGCTCCGCTAGCCACTCTCCATCCACCGCGGTGACACACTGCATGTATTCCTAGGAGGACAAACACAGGAACCGAAAACACGTCACATCGAAGAATACTAGACTACCAGCCAGTCAAAGTCCAACACAGTGTGCAGCAATTCCGATGTCTGAACCCAAATGCTTGTTTTGGGGCAATAATTAAGTTTGACACTCTCACCCCCCCCCCCCTTCCAGTCCGGACACTTTCCTCCCCCTTCCAGTCCGGACACTTTCCTCCCCCTTCCAGTCCGGACACTTTCCTCCCCCCCCCCCCTTCCAGTCCGGACACTTTCCCCCCTTCCAGTCCGGACACTTTCCCCCCTTCCAGTCCGGACACTTTCCCCCCCTTCCAGTCCGGACACTTTCCTCCCCCTTCCAGTCCGGACACTTTCCTCCCCCTTTCCTCCTTCCAGTCCGGACACTTTCCTTCCCCTTCCAGTCCGGACACTTTCCTTCCCCTTCCAGTCCGGACACTTTCCTCCCCCCTACCAGTCCGGACACTTTCCTCCCCCCTACCAGTCCGGACACTTTCACCCCCCCCTACCAGTCCGGACACTTCCCCCCCCCCCTTCCAGTCCGGACACTTTCCCCCCCCCCTTCCAGTCCGGACACTTTTCCCCCCCCCCTTCCAGTCCGGAGACTTTCCCCCCCCTTCCAGTCCGGAGACTTTCACCCCCCTTCCAGTCCGGAGACTTTCCCCCCCCCCCCCCCCCCCCCCTTTCCCCCCCCCCCCTTCCAGTCCGGAGACACTTTCCCCCCCCCCCTTCCAGTCCGGACACTCTCCCCCCCCTTCCAGTCCGGACACTCTCACCCCCTTCCAGTCCGGACACTCTCACCCCCTTCCAGTCCGGACACTCTCACCCCCTTCCAGTCCGGACACTCTTCTCCCCCTTCCCAGTCCGGACCTTTCCCCCCCCCCCCCCCCCCAGTCCCCTCTTCCAGTCCCCCCCCAGTCCGGACACTCTCCCCCTTCCATTCCCCCCCCCCCCCCCCCCCCCCACCCCCCCCCCCCAACCCCCCCCCCCCCCACCCACCCCCCCCCCCCCCCCCCCCCCCCCCCCCCCCCCCCCCCCCCCCCCCTTCCTGTCCAGGCCAATTTTCAGCTTTCACACTTTGAATGACAATTGCGCGGTCATGCAACACTGTACCCATATGAATTTTTTTGGCATTTTTTGAGACAGATAAAGCTTTATTTTAGTGGTATTTATTCACTTTTATTTTTTGCTATATAAATGAAAGACCAAAATTTTGAAAAAAAAAAGTGTTTTTCTTTATATTCTTATAAAATTGTAAAATAATTATGTAAAATTATATATATTAATACAATTAAATAATCTTTCTTCATAAAGCTTGGCCAAAATGTATTCATCTATCTTTTTAGTAAAACAAAAAAAAAAAAAAAACATAACCCAAAATTACTTTATACCCAAAAATTATGTTTCAAAAATTATTTTTTACATTTTTATATTATTTATGTATTTTATGTTATTTACATACTGTCACCCTATTTTATTTTTTTATATATTTTTTTTTTTTTACATACTGTCACCCTAGTGGTACAGTGTCACCATGGTGACGCTGTACTACTTGCGGGAGGTGATGAAGATTTTTTTTTTTTTTTCTTTTTCTACACTGATCACTTTTACAGTCTTTATGGGTGTAAAAGCAATCATTTCTCCTTCTCTCTGGCTGCATTCCTGCTGCCACTGACAAATACTGTGAGAGCTGTGATTGGTCACAGCTTGTCACACGGTACAAGGCTGTTGTGAAGAGCCCTGTACCATGTACATGTAGTAAGCAATGTCAGAAGTAACATCTTTTTACTACTCTGCATGTGACCACTGACTGGCCAATCAGTGATCACATGATCGGGACCTCGCACTGAGGTGGGGTTTTTTTCCTGATTGATCTTTGTGTTCAACTACACAACAGCCCAATGAATGGGTTTTGTACACGTTTTGCCCCATTTTTCTACTACAAAGCTGATAATTCCCACAACTTTTGATTCCATTTAATTTTTGATCTATGGACTTGCCATCCAATCTCTGCAGTTACCAACTCCAGTGGGATCTGCCTTCTATGTATTACAACCATCCGTGCACCCATCTCCTATCATGTGTGGGCCCAGGGGGGCGTATAGGTGTATGTAACAAAACGCGTGGAGCCGCAATTTAAATTGATACTTGAAAGTTTGAATGTACCCATTTGGGGATCCGCAGGATACATGTACTCAGATCACATACCGCACTCACCAGATATTGGGGGAAAAAAACGCCTGATCATTTCAGAAATATCTGGTGAGTGCGGTATGTGATCTGAGCACTAACAGGTGTGAACACGGGATAAGTGTTTTCAACTTTATATTACTCACCAATTTCATCCTAATAATTATTTTTTTTGGAGTGGGACTATTCTATATAATATTTTTTTCATATTTTTCCATTTTATTCATTATTTTTATATATATATATTAATTTTTTTGTATTATCTTTCTTTTATTATTTATTGCATAATTTATTTGCGCTGTTTGATATTTTTTATTATTTATTATTTTTTATTATTATTATTTTTATTGGTGTTTACACTAATGAGCAGTAGCATTTATTTAGGAATTATTTCACGATTTTTTTGGCGCTGGTGATTTTTTGTATATACAAATCAGAATCCTATATCAAATAAAAATGTACAATTCCGATCCCCGTCCCTGAGAATTCTCTGCACTGCAGACCGGGACCGTTTCCTCACCTTGGTGGTCATCACCAGCTCGTGGTACACAATATAGTCCGGTGTGTATCCCATGCCAAACAGAGAGCTTGTTGGGTGCAGGTGACAGGGCATCCCCGTCCGTACATTCACATATTCGCCGATTCCCTGCAGAACAGAAAAGATAAAAATTCGGGTCACTTGGATCGTCCTTCCTCTCGCCCGTATTTCACACCTCCACCAGCCACGTTCCGTTACCTTTAGCCTGGCAGCCTGATGGAAATAGGCGGCACAGATACATTTCCGGACCACATCCCAGTCCGACCCGCAGGATGACAGAGACATGCGCTGAGACACCATGATGTCCTTCAGCTGAGCCCGAACTTCTCGTACCTGATTTCAGAAAAGGACAAAATCGATTATTTTTCCTATCTACGTCTTGAGTGACGAATTCTGCAAAGCGATTCACATCGGGCCATGCGGCAGAGGACGTCATAATGCAACGCCTCTGCTGCTTCCGGACGCACACTCTGGGCTTGGAAAATCAGAAACTAAAAATGACCAAATCTGAATATTTTGAGAGAAATTGGAAAGATCCGGAGAAAAGCGCCACAAGAGTATATCACTGGATGGACATTCTTAGGGCTCTTTTTTTTTTTTTTTGAAGCTTTATAGACATACTAAAGCCAACAACGTGGGCCGCTCTGGGCAGTACCACTACAAGGGGCAGGTGAGTATAACAGGTTTGTGATTTGAAACTTTTTTTTTTTTACTTTAATCATTTAAAGCTCGGCAGATGCAATGTGTGTGTTGATTTTCTACTTGTTTTATAGGGACCCAGTAGAACCCCAGGGGCTCCATAGTATGCACACTCAACACATCCCCAGCTTATTAGAACCCTCCTTCAACCAATTCCCTGCTCTGTAGTAACCCCCAGCTTTGCTGATCTCCCCACTCAGTAGTAACCCCCAGCTCTGCGGATTCCCCGCTCAGTAGTAACCCCCAGCTCTGTTGATCCCCCGCTCGGTAGTAACCCCCAGCTCTGCTGATTCCCCGCTCAGTAGTAACCCCCAGCTCTGTTGATCCCCCGCTCAGTAGTAACCCCCAGCTCTGCTGATCCCCCGCTCAGTAGTAAGCCCCAGCTCTGCTGATCCCCCGCTCAGTAGTAAGCCCCAGCTCTGCTGATCCCCCCGCTCAGTAGTAAGCCCCAGCTCTGCTGATCCCCCGCTCAGTAGTAACCCCCAGACCTAATCCCCTGCTCAGTAGTAACCTGCAGCTCTGCTGATTCCGCGCTCAGTAGTAACTCGCAGTTCTGTTGATCCCCCACTCAGTAGTAATCCCCAGCTATCCTGACCCACCGCTCAGTAGTAACTCCCAGCTGTACTGATCCCCCACTTAGTACTAACCCCCAGCTCTGCTGATCCCCCACTCAGTACTAACCCCCAGCTCTGCTGATCTCCCACTCAGTACTAACCCCCACCTCTGCTGATCTCCCACTCAGTACTAACCCCCACCTCTGCTGATCCCCCACTCAGTACTAACCCCCACCTCTGCTGATCCCCCACTCAGTACTAACCTCCACCTCTGCTGATCCCCCACTCAGTACTAACCTCCACCTCTGCTGATCCCCCACTCAGTACTAACCCCCAGCTCTGCTGATCCCCCCACTCAGTACTAACCCCCAGCTCTGCTGATCCCCCCACTCAGTACTAACCCCCAGCTCTGCTGATCCCCCCACTCAGTACTAACCCCCAGCTCTGCTGATCCCCCCACTCAGTACTAACCCCCAGCTCTGCTGATCCCCCCACTCAGTAGTAACCCCCAGCTCTGCTGATCCCCCCACTCAGTAGTAACCCCCAGCTCTGCTGATCCCCCCACTCAGTAGTAACCCCCAGCTCTGCTGATCCCCCACTCAGTAGTAACCCCCAGCTCTGCTGATCCCCCCACTCAGTAGTAACCCCCAGCTCTGCTGATCCCCCACTCAGTAGTAACCCCCAGCTCTGCTGATCCCCCCACTCAGTAGTAACCCCCAGCTCTGCTGATCCCCCACTCAGTAGTAACCCCCAGCTCTGCTGATCCCCCACTCAGTAGTAACCCCCAGCTCTGCTGATCCCCCACTCAGTAGTAACCCCCAGCTCTGCTGATCCCCCACTCAGTAGTAACCCCCAGCCCTGCTGATCCCCCACTCAGTAGTAACCCCCAGCTCTGCTGATCCCCCACTCAGTAGTAACCCCCAGCTCTGCTGATCTCCCACTCAGTAGTACCCCCAGCTCTACTGATTCCCTGCACAAATAGTAACCCCAAGCTTTGCTAACACTCCTCTCTCTCTGTCCCCTCACCTCCCATGCTGCACATCACATGTGATACTGGTAGTTTCTCCTGGTCTGCAGCTCTGCTGATCCTTCGCCGCTCAGTCCTTTCTCTTAGGTCCCTGCTCACCTTCTGCTATAGCATTTCCATGTTGCACAACATGTGTCATCTGCTAGTTGCTCCACTCCAGTTCTGACCCCACTCACCATCCTGCTGCTCCACACCAGATGTGACGTCTGCATCAGACACTTCCAGGACATATACACATGAAAACGGAAGTGACTGCTGATGGCGGCTCTCTGGTTCACATGTTGGCTTCCCAGTGCATCTGGGATTTCTTATACCTCCAAATCAATGCGAAGCAAAAGATGAATAAAACCTCACAAAAGCTGCAGGTGCTGTAAGTGAGCTTTATCACAGACTTCTATGGAGGATTTGACGCTCCATGAAAGCAACGTAGGTATAATTTTTTAAGCAAAACAAAAACACAATGTGTGAACAGGACAGTAAGGTAACCATTTTATTTAGTGACGGGGCTTCGATCGGCATTCAGAGTGCCTTAAATAGGAATTTCTAATGCCATGTTTTAAAGCAAGTGTAAACGAGCCCTTAGAGCAGCGAATGCTCATTCCCTCTTTGTAACAAGAATAGAAAAGGAAAATTCCTTGTTTTGTGCAGAGGGTGTCCCGGGGCTAGAGAGTCCAGAAAATATGTCACTAAATACTGACGACCTGCACTCACCTTCCTCATGGCCTTAGCATGGATAAAATGCTGGTTGCACCAGCCACTGGAGTAGTTGTTGTTCTTCCATTGGAGGAATACGTTCAGGTAAGTCAAGTGGTCACTCTCAGGGACAGCAAATTTCTCTCTGACTTGATCGCTTTCTTCCTCACGTCCCTGGAAACATGGAAAAAGAGTCATGTATAAGCAATGGAAATATCCAATGTAAAATTCTACATCTATGTGCAATTAAAAGAGAAGTATGGGGTAACCTAAAAAAAAAAAAAAAAAATGTATACTCACCTAGGTGGATGCAGCAAGTTCCACTGGCCCCACTTTTCCTTTAAAGCAGTGATTCCCAACCTTCCTAATGCCGCGTCCCCTTAATACAGTTCCTCATGTTGTGGTGACCCCCAACCATAAAATTATTTACCCAGTAATTATAATTCATGAAGTGTCGTTTGACCTCCAATACTGCTGCTTTCTACACAGTGGCTGCTTTCTACACAGCGGCTGCTTTCTACACGGTGGCTGCTTTCTACACGGTGGCTGCTTTCTACACGGTGGCTGCTTTCTACACGGTGGCTGCTTTCTACACGGTGGCTGCTTTCTACACGGTGGCTGCTTTCTACACGGTGGCTGCTTTCTACACGGTGGCTGCTTTCTACACGGTGGCTGCTTTCTACACGGTGGCTGCTTTCTACACGGTGGCTGCTTTCTACACGGTGGGTAGCTGCTTTCAACACGGTAGCTGCTTTCAACACGGTAGCTGCTTTCAACACGGTAGCTGCTCTTTACACATCGGAAATATGTGTTGTCCGATGGTCTTAGGCGACCCCTGTGAAAGGGTCGGTCGACCCCCAAAGGGGTCGCGACCCACAGGTTGAGAACCGCCGCTTTAAAGGTTCCTGTATGGCAGGAGCATCAAAGCTATTTACTATGTGATACACAAGACCCAAAAGTGTTGCGTGCATCCCCGTGCTGGCAGTCCTTTAGCTGGCAATTGGGATGCAGCAGCTGTACAGAAACAACGGCGGCTCCCAATGTGACATCATTAAAGTGGTTGCACACCCTTAGATATAACCAGTAAAGTATAACGAAACAAATCCTTCTACTTAAGTTGTGCCTGTTTACCTGCAGCCTTCTCTACGTTCGTTTAAACAGCTAAGTCTTAAAGTTTGTCTGAGATTTCAGAAAAAAAAAAAGGTGGAGAGCTGAAGTTACACTCTGCAGAGATCAATGGAGGAGGAGAGCTCAGAGCTTATTGGAGGGAAGAGATACACCCCCCCCCCCCCCCCACACCTCCGCACAGCACACAGAAACAGAGTTGAGACTGTCAATCTGCTGGAGGTCCTCCCCCTGTCACCATTTTTCTCTTGGTGTCAGGAAAACTTGTCAGAAGTGACTCATGCTGATAGCAGAAGTAGGAGGCAGCAGACAGAAATGACACTTAGTGCTCTCAATAGAGACACACTATAGAGGGATGTGCTTTGTTCCTACTTCATATCTGAGGGTTACAAGCACTTTAAGGAGGTAAAAAACCTTTTGTGCTACAGTTGTGTAAATAGAGCAGGACGTGTCTCTGAAGGCTCGGGGTATAACATGATCCACGACAGATCCCAAGCTTTTACTATATATTGGGCCTCTCTATTGCTCAGCTCAGACATTTCCTGGCAGTTTAAAAGTCCAAAGTTAAGGGTATCCACTGGGCTTATTTATCCAAAAGCCCTTTGTTTTTAAAGTGATTAAAAAAAAACACCAAACTTTAAAAACGTGATACCTACCGGCTCTGTGTAATGATTTTGCACAGAGCAGCCCCGATCCTCCTCTCTTGGGGTTTTTTACAATGGTGTCAAAGTGCCTGCAAGTATATAGTGTGGGCCTGGGAACTCGATGGGACTTGACACCATTGTAAAATCGATGAGCTCCCACACTTAACCCCTTGAATACCCCGAGATGTTAACCCCTTCCTAGCCAGTGTCATTAGTACAGTGACAGTATTATCACTGTATTAGTGCCACTGATGATGTCAGTGTCCATTAGTCAGTTCCCACCCATTGTCAGTTAGTGTCAGATAGCCCGCCGCACAAGCAGTCCCAATATAAGTCACTAACACCGCCATTTTTAGTATTAAAAAATACACAAAAATTCCAGTATATATACACCATACACTCACCGGCCACTTTATTAGGTCCACCTTGCTAGTGCCAAGAAAATCTCCCCAACACCATGACACCCCACCTCCAGCCTGAACCATTGATACAAGGCAGGATGTGTGTGTGTGTGATTAGGTCCACCTGGTCAATGGCTCGGTAACACACACTGCTAATCAGCCAATCACATGGCAGCAACTAGATGCCTAAATGCATTGAGACGTGGTGAAGACGACTTGCTGAAGTTCAAACCGAGCATCAGAATGGGGAAGAAAGGGATTTAAGTGACTTTGAACATGGCATGGTTATTGGTGCCAGACGGGCTGGTCTGAATATTTCAAAAACTGCTGATCTACTGGGATTTTCACACACAATCATCTCTGGGGTTTACAGAGAATGGTCCTAAAAAGAGAAAATATCTAGTGAACAGCAGTTGTGTGGAGGAAAATGTCTTGTTGATATCAGAGAATGGGCAGACTGGATGCTGCAACATTCAGATGGTAGGGTCGGAATTTGGCGTAAGCAACATGAAAGCGTGGATCCATCCTGCCTTGTATCAATGATTCAGGCTGGTGGTGGTGGTGTCATGGTGTGGTGGATCCAACCTGCCTTGTATCAATGGTTCAGGCTGGTGGTGGTGTCATGGTGTGGTGGATTCATCCTGCCTTGTATCAACGGTTCAGGCTGGTGGTGGTGTCATGGTGTGGTGGATCCAACCTGCCTTGTATCAATGGTTCAGGCTGGTGGTGGTGGTGTCATGGTGTGGAGATCCATCCTGCCTTGTATCAACGGTTCAGGCTGGTGGTGGGGGAGTCATGGTGTGGTGGATCCATCCTGCCTTCTATCAATGGTTCAGGCTGGTGGTGGGGGAGTCATGGTGTGGTGGATCCATCCTGCCTTGTATCAATGGTTCAGGCTGGTGGTGGTGGTGGTGTCATGGTGTGGTGAATCCATCCTGCCTTGTATCAATGTTCAGGCTGGCGGTGGTGTCATGGTGTGGTGGATCCATCCTGCCTTGTATCAACGGTTCAGGCTGGTGGTGGTGTCATGGTGTGGTGGATCCATCCTGCCTTGTATCAACGGTTTAGGCTGGTGGTTGGGGAGTCATGGTGTGGTGGATCCATCCTACCTTGTATCAACGGTTCAGGCTGGTGGTGGTGGTGTCATGGTGTGGTGGATCCATCCTACCTTGTATCAACTGTTCAGGCTGGTGGTGGTGGTGTCATGGTGTGGTGGATCCATCCTGCCTTCTATCAATGGTTCAGGCTGGTGGTGGGGGAGTCATGGTGTGGTGGATCCATCCTGCCTTCTATCAATGGTTCAGGCTGGTGGTGGTGGTGTCATGTTGTGGTGGATCCATCCTGCCTGGTATCAATGGTTCAGGTTGGTGATGGAATGGTGTGGATATATATATCCCTTTCTTCCCCATTCTGTTGCTCGGTTTGAACTTCAGCAAGTCGTCTTCACCACGTTTACATGCCTAAATGCACTGAGTTCAGGCTGGTGGTGTAATGGTGTGGATATACATACAGTCATGGCCGAAATTGTTGGCACCCTTGATATTTTTCCTGAAAATCAAGTATTTCACACAAAAAAGGTATTGCATTAACACATGTTTTGCTATACACATGTTTATTCCCTTTGTATGTATTGGAACAAATATAAAACAGAGGCAGAAAAGCAAATATGACATAATGTCACACAAAACCCCAAAAATGGGCTGGACAAAAGTATTGGCACCCTTAACTTAATATTTGGTTGCACACCCTTTGGAAAACATAACTGAAATCAGTCGCTTCCTATAACCATCAATAAGCTTCTGACACCTCTCACCCGGAATTTTGGACCACTCTTCCTTTGCAAACAGCTCCAGGTCTCTCTTATTGGAAGGACACCTTTTCCCAACAGCAATTTTAAGATCTCTCCACAGGTGTTCAATGGGATTTAGATCTGGGCTCATTGCTGGCCACTTCAGAACTCTCCAGCGCTTCTTTGCCATCCATTTCTGAGTGCTTTTTGACGTATGTTTGGGGTCATTGTCCTGCTGGAAGACCCAGGATCTTGGACGCAAACCCAGCTTTCTGACACTGGGCCCTACAGTGCGACCCAAAATCCTTTGGTAATCCTCAGATTTCATGATGCCTTGCACACAGTCAAGGCACCCAGTGCCAGAGGCAGCAAAACAACCCCAAAACATCATTGAACCTCCACCATATTTTACCGTAGGTACTGTGTTTTGTTCTTTGTAGGCCTCATTCCGTTTTCGGTAAACAGTAGAATGATGTGCTTTACCGAAAAGCTCTATCTTGGTCTCATCTGTCCACAAGACGTTTTCCCAGAAGGCTTTTGGCTTACTCAAGTACATTTTGGCAAACTGTAGTCTTGCTTTTTTATGTCTCTGTGTCAGCAGTGGGGTCCTCCTGGGTCTCCTGCCATAGCGTTTCATTTCATTTAAATGTCGACGGATAGTTCGCGCTGACACTGATGCTCCCTGAGCCTGCAGGACAGCTTGAATGTCTTTGGAACATGTTTGGGGCTGCTTATCCACCATCCGGACTATTCTGCGTTGCAATCTTTCATCAATTTTCCTCATCCGTCCACGACCAGGGAGATTAGCTACAGTGCCATGGGTTGCAAACTTCTTGATAATGTTGCGCACTGTGGACAAAGGCAAATCTAGTTCTCTGGAGATGGACTTGTAACCTTGAGATTGTTGATATTTTGCCACAATTTTGGTTCTCAGGTCCTCAGACAGTTCTCGTCTCCTCTTTCTGTTGTCCATGCTTAGTGTGGCACAGACAGACACACAATGCAAAGGTTAAGTGAACGTCTCTCCTTTTTATCTGCTTTCAGGTGTGATTTCTATATTGCCCACACCTGTTACTTGCCCCAGGTGAGTTTACAGGAGCATCACATGCTTGTAACATTCTTATTTATCCGCAGTTGTGAAAGGGTGCCAATACTTTTGTCCAGCCCATTTTTGGAGGTTTGTGTGACATTATGTCGAATTTGCTTTCTTTCCTCCCTTTTTTTTTTTTGTCCCAATACACACAAAGGGAATAAAAACATGTGTATAGCAAAACATGTGTTAATGCAATACGTTTCGTGAGAAATACATGATTTCCTGGAGAAATATCAAGGGTGCCAACAATTTCGGCCATGACTGTATATATCCACACCATTACACCACCAGCCTGAACCATTGATACAAGGCAGGATGGATCCATGCTTTCATGTTGTTTACCTAAAATTCTGATCCTACCATCTGAATGTCGCAGCAACCAGTCTGCCCATTCTCCTCTGACCTCAACAAGACATTTTCCTCCACACAACTGCCGCTCACTGGATATTTTCTCTTTTTCGGACTATTCTCTGTAAACTCTAGAGATGGTTGTGCATGAAAATCCCAGCAGATCAGCAGTTTTTGAAATACTCAGACCAGCCCGTCTAACACCAACTAAGTCACATTCAAAGTCACTTAAATCCCCTTTCTTCCCTGTTCTGATGCTCAGTTTGAACTTCAGCAAGTCGTCTTCACCACGTCTAGATGCCTAAATGCATTGAGTTGCTGCCATGTGATTGGCTGATTAGCAATTTGTGTTACCAAGCAATTGAACAGGTGGACCTAATAAAGTGGCCGGTGAGTGTAGTTTGTAGACTAACTTTCACACAACCAATATTCACTTATTGGGATTTTTATTTTAACCAAAGACATGTAGAATACATTTTGGCCAACATTTATGAAGATTTTTTTTTTTCTTCTTAATTTTTTACTTGGTTGTTTTATAGCAGAAAGTAAAAAAAAAATTTTTTTTTTCTCTTCATAATTTGGTCTTTGTTCATACAATAAAAAAAAAAAACTAGTATAGTGACTGTACGGATCAGTATCAGAACTATACTAGTGTCCCCAATAGTAGTGTCCCCAAAAGCACTGTTTGGTTTTTACCAAAGGCATGTAGCAGAAAACGTTTTGTCCTAAATTTATGAAGAAATGTGATTTCATTGGAAATTATTTATAATAGAAAGTAGAAAAAAAATTTTTCCCAAAAACTTTTCAGTAATTTTTTCATTATATATAAATATAAAATCTCTATTTTTGCGAAACCAATTATATAAAATTTCATTGGCGTACAGTGTTGCACGACCGCACAATTGCTAGTTAAAGTAGCAACGTGCTGAATAGCAAATAAATGGCCTGGTCATGAAGGGGGTAAAACCTTCCAGATCTCAAGTGGTTAAAAACAAATCATGCGTCACATAATAATACCTTAGGCCGGTAAAATATAGCTGGCACAGACAACATGGACACCACAATAAGGATTTCAGCGCTGCAGCGCATATCGCAGGATACGATCAACATCTTGGATAGAGCCGGATCCAGTGGGAACTCAACCATGAGACGTCCGGTGGAAGTGAGTGAGCCTAGAGTAAAACACAAACAAAGATGAATACTCAGAACGTAGGGGTTGTTTGCAGGTGGAAGAGAGCGCGACGAGACATATTACCAGTGTTGTCCAGCGCCCCCAGCACAGCTGGTACATGGAGTTGAGCATATTGTCCTCTGGCGGTGGGTCCATAAAGTGGAAGAGGAGAAGATCCTGGACTCCCAGGGACTTCAGCAGCAGGACCACATTGGACAGGTTGGTGCGCTGGATTTCAGGCACTGTAGTGCACAGCAACTCATTCTTGTACGCGCTCTGTGTGTACAGCCTGTCAGAGAGGGGGAGAGAGTGAGAATTCAGTAGCTGCATCCAGAGGTCTGGGCTGTCGCTGCAAAAGAACACCCAATGATTGGCTACCTCCAGAATCTATGGACTTGCCCAAACGGGACAACCTCATAACAAAGGCATGCACTGTAGCTTTATCCCCTTCACGCCGGAGCCTTCCGGCCCTTTAAGAGTTTCAGAGGCGGGGTTTAGGGTCATGTGACCGCCGTGACGGCATGATCGGGAAAGGTCCCGATCAAAAGAGAAGATCGGGACCTTTCCGTGAGTACCGGACATGTGTGCTGGGAGCGTGCAGGGCGCGCGTTCTCGGCACATATGTCTTTTTTTTAATAGAACGCAAATGTGCGGCCGCTCGGCGTCTAGGCCCAGACGCCGGGAGGCCGCACATTTGCGTTCGGCTGGCGTGAAGAGGTTAAGCCCGGGTTCCTACTTGTGCGGTGCAGCATATCGCATGCCTGTGCAAATGACATGCGATTTGTGCGGCGCGATCGGAGTCGTACATTTTGTATGGCTCTATTCGCACAGCACCCGCACCAAAAACACGCAGGACCCCTTTTTTTAGTCCACACTAGAATCGGACCGCATGGGTATTCACACCCATGTGATCCGATTCTGCACATCGCACCACGTTTTGTGGACCGATTTTGTGGTGGTGTTAACTTACCATACACACCCGCAGCGGTTCGCATGAATGGGGGTGCGATTGTGATGCGGTGCGGAATTCGCACTGAAACCGCTACGAATTCCGAGTCACATCAGTGTGAACCCGGGCTAAAAGGGTTTGAGAATCTGCCCCATTTTGGATAAATAAGGAGAGGCACTAGGAAATCCGTAAAAGAACACACAGGGGCCACAAACTCCTAGCGCATTACCCAAGATTTATTACGGGAAATCAGGAAAAGCCAAATTCATATTCACACACAACAGAAGTAATATGCACGACAGATTACGGATCATTGACGTATCCCGATACATAACCTCTGAGGAAGGGGATATGTCCCCAAAACACGCCAGCTTGCCGACACGAACAACAGCTGACAACCCACCATGTTGGTCGATCATCAGTAAATCGGTCTCATGCATATTGTTTGCGGTTAGATTTCACCTACAATAAACGTGTTTGACTGGAAAATACTACACTATGGGAATTCTTCTTTTTGGCTCTATATGAGCTAAATACCAGCTTAGAGCCCATTCCTGGAGGACGGTACCTGTGTGGCAGAGTACCAGGGAGGAAGGAGATCTCTTGGACCAGACCAGGCTGCTTACCACCTTTAAGGGGGACCTCCGGCTAATTATCATATACATTGCCTATTATGATTTGCCATCTGGTGAGTGTGCAATTCAAACAATCCTTTTGACACATCACCTGAGTGAATGTCCAGGAACACGGATCACCATCTAGAGCAGTGGTTCTCAACCTGTGGGTCGCGACCCCTTTGGGGGTCGAACGACCCTTTCACAGGGGTCCCCTAAGACCATCAGAAAACACATATTTCCGATGTGTAAAGAGCAGCTACTGTGCTGAAAGCAGCTACTGTGCTGAAAGCAGCTACTGTGCTGAAAGCAGCTACTCTGTTGAAAGCAGCTACTCTGTTGAAAGCAGCTACTCTGTTGAAAGCAGCTACTCTGTTGAAAGCAGCTACTCTGTTGAAAGCAGCTACTCTGTTGAAAGCAGCTACTCTGTTGAAAGCAGCTACTCTGTTGAAAGCAGCTACTCTGTTGAAAGCAGCAGTATTGAAGGTAAAATTACACTTCATGAATTATAATTACTGGGTAAATAATTTTATGGTTGGGGGTCACAACATGAGGAACTGTATTAAAGGGTCACGACATTAGGAAGGTTGAGAACCACTGATCTAGAGACTATTTTAATCACATCAGTCACTTATATCTCTTGAATGGTTAGGTACTCTCTAAATAGGAGAGCGGTGTGATATATATCTTCCTTATTACATGCACAGCACTTTCATATATGATATTTATATATTGCACTTTATATGGGCACTTTATTTATGCATAGCCATTATATTTTTCTGTCGTTTTTATTATATTTATTTAGCGCTGCACCCCCATGTTTGTGTCTTAGGAGGTATTTGAAGGTTGCCTTTGGTGCATCAGCTGCTAGTTGTTTTTGGCGCTCGCTTATCCATTTTATTTTTTGTCTCATGCATATTACGTCTGTTATTTGAGAGTATAAAATTGGCTTTTTTTTATTCCTCTCCATAAATCTTGGGTCATGCGCTAGGCGGTTTGCGCACCCCGTGTGTGCTTTCAGTTTGCGGTTGGATTCTCCTGTCTGAGGAGGGCTACACCGCTAAGTCACTATCCCAGACGAAACATTAATCCTGCCGCATATTCCAGTCTGGTGACTTTTCTTTTGAGCGCTAGAGAAATTGTTTGTGAACTATGAAATCAGTATCGGAGGTCTGCAGAAGATAAAGCCAGCATGAAAGAGGGTGGGAAGGGAGGTTGCATGTAAAATATCAAGTTATGCCGCTGTCACTAGCTGACGTGTTGAGAAGCTGTCCGTTTGCTGCATACCTGCTCTGGAAAAAAAAAAATGTGACTAATCTGCAAAGGGCATCAGTTTGATAAATAAAGCCCAGACCAAGATACTGAGACCTAATCCCTGAGCCTTCACCATCCACTTACCTGAAGCACTGCCCTGGGCCCGTCCTACCAGCTCTACCTGCACGCTGGTTAGCATTGGCCTGGCTGATGGGATAGATTTGTAAAGCATCCATACCAATTCGTGGGTTAAATACCTGTGTGAGAAATAGAAGAGTTTAAAAGGAAATGAAGTCCTTCTACTGAAGTATAGATCAGCGCTCATTTACATAAACATTTAACAGGATTTTGTATAAATAAAATGTATGTTTTTGCAAAAAACGTTTTGTCATCACTGTAGAAAACGGAAAAGTGCCTTGAAAATAATTCTGTCGTGGTTTTAAAGATTATTATTATACAGGATTTATATATTATTATTATTATACAGGATTTATATATTATTATTATACAGGATTTATATATTATTATTATACAGGATTTATATATTATTATTATTATACAGGATTTATATATTATTATTATACAGGATTTATATATTATTATTATACAGGATTTATATATTATTATTATAATAATACAGGATTTATATATTATTATTATACAGGATTTATATATTATTATTATTATACAGGATTTATATATATTATTATTATACAGGATTTATATATTATTATTATACAGGATTTATATGGCGCCAACAGTTTGCTCAGCACTTTACAATATATAACGGGAGACAATACAGCAACAATACAGTTCAATACAAGAGGGATAGGAGGGCCTGATCCTGGGAGCTTACAATCTAAGACGGAGGGGCTAGTGGTACAAAAGGTAGTAACTGTGGGGGAAGGACTGGTAGGAAGAATAGAACATTCCATTATTAGCTGAGGGCAGGATAGGCTTCCCTGAAGAGATAAAAGTGAGCAGAGTAGGCGACAGTCTGATAAATTGGGGTAGAGAGGTCCGGAGGATGGGGGAGGCTCTGGAGAAGTCCTGGAGACGAGAATGGGAGAAGGAGACAAGGGAGCTAGAGAGCAGGAGGTGTGGGAGGAGCGGAGAGTACGGTTTGGGTGATATTTGGAGACATAATTGTTGATGTAATTTGGTTATAAAGAGTTATAAATAAGATATCAGGGACACGACGAGCAGATTGGGAAGGGCGGCAGGTCTAAAGGATGGTGTTTTTTGTAATATAGTAACCATAAGTGCACTTTAAAATCTATTAATCAAAAGCAGATTTTTTTTTTTACCTTTAACTTGCAGTATCCGGAGTCTATAACAAACATTATACCATCCACAGTCAGTGAGGTTTCTGCAATGTTAGTGGCCACAATGCATTTCCTAACGCCATCTGGAGCCTGCAAAGAAAAAGGGCAAAGCTTGCATTACAGCCTGCAGAGATCCACATACAAAGCCTCACACATCTACTGCTGCGAAATTGGAAACAAAGGAAAAAAAAAAACAAAAAGAAAAACAATGCAGGAGTTAAAGTGGCTCTAAGTGCAAAATTTTTTTTACCTAAATGCATTTTCTGCATCACTAGAGGGGTCACCGGCAGGAGAGAAGGAGGTCCTGATTCCTCTATAGATCTTTATATCACTAGAGGGGTCACCGGCAGGAGGAAGGAGGTCCTGATTCCTCTATAGATCTTTATATCACTAGAGGGGTCACCGTCATGAGGAAGGAGGTCCCGATACCTCTATATAGATCTTTATATCACTAGAGGGGTCACCGGCAGGAGGAAGGAGGTCCCGATTCCTCTATATAGATCTTTATATCACTAGAGGGGTCACCAGCAGGAGGAAGGAGGTCCTGATTCCTCTATATAGATCTTTATATCACTAGAGGGGTCACCAGCAGGAGGAAGGAGGTCCTGATTCCTCTATATAGATCTTTATATCACTAAAGGGGTCACCGGCAGGAGGAAGGAGGTCCTGATTCCTCTTCATAGATCTTTATATCACTAGAGGGGACACCGGCAGGAGGAAGGAGGTCCTGATTCCTCTATATAGATCTCCTTCTATATAGATCACTAGAGGGGTCACCAGGAGGAGGAAGGAGGTCCTGATTCCTCTATATAGATCTTTATATCACTAGAGGGGTCACCAGCAGGAGGAAGGAGGTCCTGATTTCTCTATACAGATCTTTATATCACTAGAGGGGTCACCGGCAGGAGGAAGGAGGTTCTGATAGCAGAGCCATACAAAGCAGTGTACTTACAGTGTAAAGCACACACAGCCCACATAGTAAAACACACCCAGCACACAGTAAACCCTTTGATCGCCCCTCACATTGACCCTTTCCTGCCGAGTGCCAGTACAGCATCAGTGCTTTTTATTAGCACTGATCACTGTATTGGTGTCACTGGAGATGTCAGTGACACCAAGTCAGATCCCGTCCCCCCCAAGTGTCAGAATGCCCGCTGCAGTTCCGCTATAAGTTACTGATCGCCACCATTACTAGTAAAAAAAAAAAAAAAAAAAATTCCAGTATATACAACGCCATTTGTAAACGCTATAACTTTCAAGTAAACCAATTAATTTACATGTATTGGGATTTTTTTTCAAGAATACATTTTGGCCTAAATTTATGCCGAAATGTGATTTTTTTTTTACCGGAAGTGTTTAATAGCAAAAATTAAAAAATATTGTTTGTTTGTTTTTTTTAAATGGTCGGTATTTTTTTGTTTATAATACAAAATATAAAACGCAGAGGTGATCAAATACCACCGAAAGAAAGCTCTATTTGTGGGGGGGAGGACGCAAAGTTAATTTGGGTGCAGCATTGCATGACCGTGCAATTGTCAGCGCCGTATCGCAAAAAATGGCCTGGTCAGGAAGGGGAGGGGGCAAATCACCTGGAGGGCAAGTGGTTAACCCATTTTTCATTAAATCATTTGTTACTGCCCACAAACAGACCAGCCAATTGTCAGAGAAGACCTCTGGTTTGGGTATTTTACTGGAAACTTTGGTGAACCCAATATGAAATATCTATCTACGGTGAATTGTTTGGCAGATACCAGCAATGGCCTACCTTCTGGAAGATTTTGGCTTGGAGATCAGAGGGAAGCTGGGAGTAGATTGGCAATACGGCCAGAGCAGGGGCGCTCTCCAGCTCTTCCAGTCTCTCAATAATCTGATCTGAGGTCACCTGGAAGACATGGAGAGTAGATTAGCTTCACATTATTCTGGAATGAGTCTCCAGTCACTGAGCAATGGACGGGGCTTACCTCAATGTCCTCCTGACCAGGCATGAAGATCAATATGTCTCCCGGAGCTCCAGAAAGATGGATCTGCAGGGCCTGTTTTACAGCAGCCTCCACGTAATCCTCCTGTGGTGTCTGTAGAGTTTCAGTGGCAGAAAAGAGCGAGTTAATGTCTTGCCTACCAGGCCAACCATGACACCTCTCACATACATGGAAAGATCAGTAGCTTTCGCTAGAAAATTACCGAGAACCCCCAAACATTTTATATATTTGTAAGCAGAGGCCCTAGAGAATAAAGTGGTGGGTGTTGCAAGTTTTTTATGTCACACGGTATTTGCGCAGTGGTTTTTCAACTGTACATTTTTTGGGGCAAAAAAAATACACTTTAATGAATTTTGGTGAAGAAAAACAACATAATACCCAATTTTTCGGTAAAATATAAAAAGATTATGTTACAAGGAGTAAATACTGTAGTTACTCAACGTGTCACATTTTAAAATGGCATACACCCGTGGAACAGCTCCAAACCATTGTACCTAAAGATCTCCATAGACGATGATTTCAAAGCCTTTACAGGTTACCACTTTAGGGTTACACAGGAGTTCTGGTGCTAAAATGATTGTTCTCTCTCTGATGTTCGTAATGATACCTCATGTGTGATTCCATTGCCGTTTACATAGGAGTGAGGGACATACAGATGCGTAGGACTCCTCACATGACCCAACGCCCACTTGGGACACACAGGGGTTTATTTACTAAAGCTGGAGAGTGCAAAATCAGGCTCACTTCTGCACACAAACCAATCAGCTTCTAACCTCAGTTTGTTAAATTAAATTAAAGTGGTTTTAAAGGCTCAAGGTTTTTTACTTTCATGCATTCTGTGCATGAAGGTAAAAAACCCCTGTGTGCAGCGCCCCCCCCCCCCAATCCTTACCCGAGTCCCCTCCATTACCAGCGATGTTCGCAATAGCCTTGGCTGTATGGGGACTCTCCCTCCTCATTAGCAGAGACAGCAGTGGGAGCCCATTGGCTCCCACAGCTGTCAATCACATCTAGTGAGCCAATGAAGAGAGCTGGGGTGGCGGGTCCACGCAGAGGCTTTGTGTTTCTTATGGACGCATAGGGCAGCAACAAGTGTGTAGCAGTACCCCCAGGGCAAGCAGCTTTCCCTGGGGGAGGAGCCACAGCACCGGCGGGGGACATACATACATATATATACACATTACATTTACATTACATTACATTGAGTTTATATAGCGCCAAAGGGTTTGCTCAGCGCTGTACAATAGAGGGGGGACAATACATGAAACATTACAGCAGCTACGAACAGCACACGAGGGGTAAGAGGGCCCTATCTTTCGAGCTTACAATCTGGGAGGGAGGGGGTAGTGGTACAGGAGGAAGTGGCTGTGGGGGATGGAGTGGTAGGAGGAATGAAGGAGAGCAGCAGTTAGGTGAGGGTGGGGTAGGCTTCCCTGAAGAGGTGGGTTTTCAGGGAGCGCCTGAAGGTGAGGAGGGAAGGTGACAGTCTGATGGATTGGGGTAGTGAGTTCCAGAGGATGGGGGAGGACCTGGAGAAGTCTTGCAGACGTGCGTGTGAGGAGGAGACCAGGGAGCAAGATAGAAGGAGGTCCTGTGAAGAGCGAAGGGTACGGGTAGGGTGGTACTTGGGAATCAGGTTGGTGAGGTAGTTAGGGCAGTGGTTGTTGTGAATGGCTTTGTAGGTCAGAGTGAGTAGTTTGAATTTGATGCGTTGGGCGATAGGGAGCCAGTGGAGGGAGAGGCAGAGGGGGGTGGCAGAGGTGGAGCGGCTGGTGAGGTGGATGAGTCTGGCAGCTGAGTTCAGGATGGTCTGAAGCGGGGAGAGTTTGCACTGGGGTAAAGGAGGGAGTTTGCAGTAGTCAAGGCGTGAGATAATCAGGGAGTGCACAAGTAGTTTAGCGGTGTCTGGGGTAAGGAAGGTGCGTATTTTGGCGATATTGCGAAGTGGAGCCTGCATGTGTTTGTCAGTGATTTGACATGAGGTTGGAAGGAGAGGTTTAGAGTCAGAATGACCCCAAGGACTTTGGCTTGCGGGGCGGGATTGATGGTGTGATGTTAGTAGTGATGGATAGGATGGGGGGGGGGGGGCGCGGGGAGGACAAGACGAGAAGCTCGGTTTTGGAGAGGTTGAGTTTGAGGAAATGGAGCACATCCAGTCAGAGATGTCGTTTAGGAGGTGAGTGATGCGGGCGGAGAAAGTGGAGGTGAGGTGAGGGGTGGAGAGGGCATCACATAGAGATGGTAGTTGAAGCCGTGGGAGTGTATGAGTTTGCAAGGGAGGAGGTGTAGATGGAGAAGAAAGGGGTCCAAGGACAGAGCCCTGGGGGACCCCAACAGAGAGGGGGAGGGAAGGGAGGTGGCACCATTGTAGGAAACGCTGAAGGAGCGTCGGGATAGGTAAGAGGAGAACCAGGAGAGAGCGGTGTCTCTGACGCCAAGGGAGAATAGTTTATTAAGGAGGAGGGGGTGGTCAACTGTGTCGAAGGCCGCGAGAGGTCCAGGAGGAGGAGGACAGAGTAGTCGCCTTTGGCTTTGGCGGTAAGTAGGTCGGTAAGTTTGGCGGTAAGTAGTATATATATATATACACACACACACACACATATATATATATATAGCAGCACGGTGGCTAAATGGGGCACAGTGGCTAAATGGGGCAGCACAGTGGCTAAATGGGGCAGCACAGTGGCTAAATGGGGCAGCACAGTGGCTAAATGGGGCAGCACAGTGGCTAAATGGGGCAGCACAGTGGCTAAATGGGGCAGCACAGTGGCTAAATGGGGCAGCACAGTGGCTAAATGGGGCAGCACAGTGGCTAAATGGGGCAGCACAGTGGCTAAATGGTTAGCACTTCCACCTGGCAGTACTTGGGTCGTTGGTTCGAATCCCAGCCACGGCACCTCCTGCCTGGAGTTTGCATGTTCTCCCTGTGCCTGCGTGGGTTTCCTCCGGGTACTCCGGTTCCCTCCCCACACTCCAAAGACATGCTGGTAGGTGAATTGGATCCTGTCTAAATTGTCCCTAGTATGTGTATGTATGAATTGTACCCCCCTTGAGGGTTAGGGACTGATGTGAATGTACAATATATATGTAAAGCGCTGCGTAAATTGATGGAGCTATATAAGTACCTGAAATAATTATATACACACACGATACTAAAGTTTTTGTTTTACGTTTTGGCAATAAAACCTGGAAACGGATTGGTTTCTATGCAGAACTGAGCCTGATTCTGCACTCTCCAGCTTTAGCAAATCTATCTATCCATTCAGTCGTATCCGACCCTTGGTGATTGCATGGACCGTCACTTGTAAGCGACTTTTTCCATGAATTCTCTTAGCAATTATTTTACAGGGTAGGTTGCCAGGTCTTTCCCCAACCCCCACCATGCAGGAGATCCCACATGGCCAGGGATTTTAGCAAATAGACCCCATAATTTCTGCTAAAAGGAGAAGAAGCGGAAACCTGCTTGGAAGAGGAGACAAGAAATCTGATTGGCTAGAGCTCACTGGAGCCCTTGTCACATGCACGCAAAGAAAAACCAGGACTGAAAGAAAAAAAAAAAAAACTCATTCAGATTGACACACGAGAACGTTAGTATGAGAGAAGTGGAGGTTAATTATAAATGTTTGACACGATGGCACATTACACCGAGTATTGAGCACAGGATGAGTGGGGAGAATTCAAAAATGTGTTGGAGAGGATGTGGAGAGATGGGCACGGTGTTTCACATATGGTGCCAATATCCGAAAATTCACGCTTTTTGGAAAACAATAGTTAAATTGATAGAAATAATAACTGGAAATGACATAGGGTTAGACCCAACGATGTGTCTTCTACATAACGTTGAGATAACAGTAAATAAATATAAAGAATCAGGCGTATGGTATTATTTAAATGCTGCAAAAGGGTTGATACCCAAGTTCTGGCAGAAAACAGAGGTGCCGAAGGAGGAAGACTGGATCAATAGAGTAAATCAGATCAGTAGTAGAATGGAAAAATCTTACTATATGCAGGAAGATAGGCTGGGAACATACTATTCGAGATGGGAAAAATGGGAAAAATCAGAAGTGAAAGAGAAATATAGAAAATCTTAAATTAGGAAGTTATTTAAAGTGATTGGGCCTCGTGAGACTGGTGAACTTGCAGAGGGGTGGGAGGGAGGGAAGGGGGGGGGGAGGGGATTGGGGGGGGGGGGGGGGGGGAGGGGGAAAGAAAAGAGTTATTAGAAGGGGTAAAATAGAAATGTTAAGACTACTTAAATGTATTGTGTTTCTTTTTATGAATTTTTTTGTAATAACATGAAAAACCAATAAATATTTAAATTTAAAAAAAAAAAAAAAAAAAAAAAAAAAAAAAAAAAAGCTCACCTTGCTGAACAGGATATCCACAGGAAACGTCCGCCCAGGAATATGGAAAATGGGGACATTACCAAAAAAATTGGCAAATTTATCGGCGTCCATTGTGGCTGAGGTGACGATCAATTTCAGATCTGACCGCCGGGTGACAACCTGAAGACAGAAGGTTTACTGTTTATCTGGTTTACGGTTAACGTGTAACAGAAATAAATGCTGATTGCTCCCAAGCTGTGATCTTACCTCCCTCAGAAGGCCGAACAGTACATCCGTGTTCAGCGAGCGCTCATGGGCCTCATCCATGATAACTGCACTGTAGTGGTCCAAGTCAGCTTCACGCAGAGATTCTCTCAGTAAGATGCCATCAGTCATGTATTTAATGAGGGTCTTCTCCGATGTACAATCCTCAAACCGAATAGCATAGCCAACCTCCTCCCCCAGACTTACTTGCATCTCTTCGCTTACTCTCTTGGCCACAGACATGGCAGCCACTCTACGGGGCTGCGTGCATGCTATCATGCCATAATCTGTGTAGCCGTCCTCATGCAAGTACTGGGTCAGTTGTGTTGTCTTGCCACTGCCAGTTTCTCCGACTACAATGACTATACTGTTTTCTCTAAAGAAAAGAAAAAAAAAACAAAATAAATAAAATATATATATATAGTACATCACACACTGAAAGATACCCCGTCACTCTCTACCCAAAGGGGATATATAGCGATTGTTCGTATATTTTAAATAGGAAATACTGGATGTTGATATTTTCTGATCTCTTTTCAATCCAGCAGGTGAATATCTGCTGATTTCCACATTTTACAGTTCCTCATCTTGTGTTACAAAAAGCCTGCAGCTGTTTACAGAGCTCAACAGCTCAAGATGAAAGTTACACACATGTTAAATGAGTCAGATAAATGACTCCTTTGTATGAGATTTCAATCGGGCAGCAGTGCCTGAAAGAAGACTACTACTACTGCTGCTGTGCTCTCTCCTTAGGAAACGTATAGTGCTCTAGGAATCCGGTGTCATTTACATAAATGTGTAAAAAATGAATTCAAAGAATGAAATTATTATAACTTCTCTTTGGCTACAGGAGTTGCACCAACTTCAGGGAGGGTCAGTCATCTGCTGGCTCTGTGGGGCTGAGGGCAGGTTCACACCATATGCAGTCCAGTGCGTTCTTAGCCCTTTCACGGCGGCGCCTCCTGGCCCTTTAAGAGTTTGAGAAGCCGGGAGGTGTGGCAGAATTTAGGGTCATGTGACCGCTGTGAAGCGCCGTCACATGATCTCCTCTTTCGATCGGGACCTTTCTGTGAGTACCGGACACGTGTGCTGGGAGCGCGCTCTCGGCACATATGTCCTTTTTTAATAGTACACAAATGTGCAGCAGCTCAGCGTCTAGGCCCAGACGCTGGGAGGCCGCACATTTGCGTTCGGCCCCGGGCGTGAAGAGGTTAATGTGCATCAAAAACACATGCACAGTGTTTTCCATGTATTCCAATAGCTCTAGTTCACCCCAGTGCAGTGCCTTCTGGCGCAGTCAACAAAAGTAGAACATGCTGCATTTTTTTTTTTTTTTTTTGCATAGAACTGCACTGGAATGTGGCAAAATGCATCAAAAAAGCACTGGAATGTGTTTTTGCCTGCAAATTCTGCTGGTTGCTAGGAACCGGCGTCCACCAGCTTCCTAACAACTAGGGACTCATCCCTACTCTCAGCTGCAGGGATGAGTCATCGGTTGTTAAGGAGCCAGCACCCGCCAGCTTCCCGACGACGGTGAGTCATCTTTGCTGTCAGTAAGGATTGACAACAGGGATGAGTTACTGGTTGCTAGGATGCCGCGGGTGTGCGCTACTAACAACCAAATCCCAGGAAAATTTGGTAAAAAATTCATTTTAAAAAAAACCCCGCAACACATCAAGAAACGCACATGCAGAAATGCATTCAGAACACATCTTGACTGCGTTTCTGTGGTGTGAACCAGACCTGAAGTAAAGGGTATTCTTCAGGGGTAGACAAAGTCACTGCCCAGGGGCCAGCATGCAGTGCTTGGAGTTCAGGAAATTGAGGGATTCAAACGATGAAGTGCTTTTATCCAAGTGCAAAGCTCATTGGCTATGAAGGTTTCTAGTAAATACACACATGCTGTACATGAATGCCATACATATTAACAATAACGTATAAAGCCATTTATAACTCCGCCCCAAATTACATCACCAATTTGTCTCTAAATATCACCCAAACCGTACTCTCCGCTCCTCGCAAGACCTCCTACTCTCTAGCTCCCTAGTCTCCTCCTCCTATGCTTGTCTCCAGAGCTTCCCCCATCCTCTGGAACTCTCTACCGCAATATATCAGACTATCGCCTACTCTGCTCACTTTTAGGCGATCTCTGAAAACCTCTCTCTTCAGGGAAGCCTATCCTGCCCTCAGATAATAATGGAATCTTCTACTCTTCCAACGAGTCCATCCCCCCACAGTTAGTGCCTTTTGTACCAGTAGCCCCTCCCTCCTAGATTGTAAGCTCCAAGGATCAGGCCCTCCTATCCCTCTTGTATTGAACTGTATTGTTGCTGTATTGTCTCCTGTGATATTGTAAAGCGCTGAGCAAACCGTTGGCGCTATATAAATCCTGTATATATAATAAAAAATGAAAATTTTCCCCTTTGTCTCTTTAAACACGCTGCAAATACAGAAAAAATATTTGCTGATCCAGCTAGAAATGCAGCGAGCTTCCAATTTTCCATAGTGAGGTGACAACGATGCAGTTACTGCACTAAAACCCCAACCACTGTTGACAGTCCTGTTGAGGTTCTCACCTGCTGGACAACAGAACCCCCCCCATCCATGTTATGTAAATGAGAGAGATGGTAGTCTGTCGTCCAGCAGGGGAGAACTTAGGCAGAGAAGAGATGAACAGTAATTGTTATTTTTTCCCACTTTGCCCCGAAAGACCCCATAACAGCACCCTACATCACAAACACCCAGAGACAGCTCAGTACCTGATTACGGTCAGCAGTTCCTGACGAACAGCAAAGATGGGCAGAAACTGTCGCTGCTCCCTCAGAGTCTTCTTCTTGGAAAATTCACTGCTTGCCTCACTGCGCTCTTTCATGTGATCTGCAAACTTCTGCTCCGCCCTGGATAGGAAAAGCAACATCATTGATAAACGACCCAGAGATTCCCATCTCCCAGAAACAATAACATTATACATACAAATCATTTTAAAGCTTTTTTTTTTTTTTTTTTTCTTATTAAAATAATCATTTATCTAATCTGTGCAATGGTTTTTTCAGAGAGCAGCCCTGATCCTCTTCTTTGCTCCTGGCTCCTCCTCTTCAGTGAGTGCCCCCCATTGAAAGCCATTTTCTATGGGGGCACGATCCTGAGCCATGCTGCCTGTGTGTCTATAGACGCAGACAGCGCAGCTTGGCCATGCCCCAGCTCCCTTATCACAGAATTTGATTGACAGCAGCAGGAGTCAATGACTCTCTCACAGGTATCAATATGTCCTGTGGGGAAGGAGAGCGCAGAGTGAGAAGAGGAGTGAGAGGGCACAGTACTGGATCGAGATCAGGCTCAGAAAAGTATAAGGGGGTCAGAGGAGGATCCTGTGGCACAGGTTTCTCTTACCTTAATGCATACAATGCATTACAGTAAAAAAACCTAACCAAACCACTTTAAGCCTGCATTTTTCCCCTGAGCAGAGCATATTCCTGGTGTTTTCCTACTTTTGAAGTCTATGGGCCAAAAATTTCTAAATACGCAGAAAAAAAAATAAAAAAAAAAACGCAAAAAAAAAAAGCTTATAAAAAAAAAAAAAAAAAAATAAAAATTTGGACAATTTTAGAGTGTCAGAATAGAATGACTGAGCATAAAAGTGTGAGCAGGGACAATTAAAGTGGGATTCTGCATGTTGACTATAGTCAGGCATAGGGAATGGAAACAAGCTGAAACAATCACGTGTGAATGGGGGAATAAAGTAGGCCTGGTTTTTTTAAGTATGCCACGAAATATTCCTGCGCATAGGTGTGGAGCAACATAGTCCCGCTCTCCTAAAAAGCAGCGTAAAAAGACAAAGAAAAGAGCGCACCAGCCTAGTGCTAGTGAGGGTAGGCAAAGCCTGCGGCTCTCTAAGTGTTGTGGAACTACATGTCCCAATGAGGAAAAATAAAGACATGATAATTGCAACATTAAAAAAAAAAAATACCCCGAAGTTTGGTGACATTTACAGCTATGACTTGCAGAAACAAACGAAAAACTTGTAGTCCTGCAACAGTCTGGAGGAGCAATGTACCAGGTAGCCTATAAAAAGCTGGCCTAGTGCATTATCCTGAAATCTTGGGAAAGTTATACCCACAAACAAAGGTATAAAAAACAGTGTATCAAAGCTTGCATATCAAGTGATGCCACAGCGCTGCTTGAGTGGAATGTTTCTGGCCCGCCCAACTGTCTGTCTGTCCCCTATCAACAAAAAGTGAAAAAGAAAGACATACCTGTAATCTACAGAGCCATCACTTCACCACCGGCTTGTCATTCTCCTCCTCCTGCTTTTTCACTCCCATAATGTCTCCGAGTTTGTCCCAGCTAATTCCCAGTGTTTGTGTTGAGCCTAGGCAGAAAAACAGTGTTACAGGACACAGCTCACACCAACCTGTAAAGTGGTACCATAATGCAGGATTTAACCTGTTACCTTTTTTCCTTTCCTTCTGCTAACTGTTACCGCGATGCTTGCGCAATACGATGCTTGCGCACCCAACTGGCTGGCCTTTGCGAGAGATGATTGCCATGTCGGAAGTTGGTCCCGCACTGGAATTACTGGCTCAGGCTAAATTCAGAAAGAAAAGAAAGTATATGAATGGAAATGAACTAGAGGCAACCGGTTTTCTCCTGTGTTGGGAGTGGGGCAGGTGTTAGGCTACAATTCAGAGAAGACACAGAAATTAACCTCTTGGCGCCTCCCGGCCCTTTTAAAGAGCTTCAGAAGCCGGAGGCGGGCGGGGTTTTAGGGTCATGCGACCGCCGTGATTTGCCGTCACGTGATCGGAAAAGGTCCCGATCACAAGGGGAGATCAGGACCTTTCCCGTGAGTCACGGACATATGTGCTGGGAGTGAGCAGATCGTGTGCTCTCAGCACATATGTATCTTCTAATGGCACGCAGATATGCGCAACTAAAATATATACCTGACTTAGATACAATATAAACCGAAATTTCACCCCACCAAAAGAATCTATTTTTTTTTTTTTTTTTTTTTTTTTTTTTAAAGTCCGCAAACGTGCAAACTACAACGAAAAAACCCGTAAGTGATCACAAAAAAAGTGCAAGTGCGAACACCACACGAAAAAGTGCACTTAGGGGTGTGTTTGTCCCTACCCCCCGAAAGGGTTGGACCGTTCGCCTGATCCCCCGGGGCACGAAGCTCCTGACAGGGACAAGGTTCCCATTTGGTCCTCCTGGCCAAAAGGCCTGGTGGACCACCGTTCCTTATGCCCAGCCGAAGCCGGACATCCAGTACTAGGCGAGGGGGTTCTCCCGAAGAGAAAACCCCCTAGGGATCAGGGGAGGAAGGAACCGTATGGCCACACATCCTCCCCCTAGACTTCAGGTAAGGCCCAAGGACCCACACCCTCCATCCGTGAAAAACACACACATAAGAACAGAAAAAGTGACAAAACGTGGGAGTGGTAAAATAAATAAAAAATAAAAAAGTGGTACCGTGCCTAATAGTGCACAGACCAGGCCCTGAGGCCTGTAGCAAAAATTGCCCCGGACTTAGCCAAAAGACCTGGTCCTTAGGGCGCTGTGCAAAAAGAAGTGAAAAACAGTGGCCATGTGTCATCTTCACACCCGTGGGGTCCCACACCCAAGTGTTACTAGTGACACCCCTGAGAGCGTCTTCCCCAGGGGGCACTGAGTTTGCGGACTTTTTTGCGTCCCCAGCCCCAGGCCAGACCAAGGTAGATCCGTTCAAATCAGGAGGTACTGGGTCTTTCCAGTCTTCCCAGAGAATTACTCCCAAGGCCCCAGAACGAATCATGGCGCTCCCTGGTTTCTGTCCCTCCGGTACTAGCCTTCCGGACCCCCATCATACCAGTGAGGGTACTATACAACAACCATCCCCGCAAAGCTAGAATGGTCGGGAGCACCCCCACTGGACACTGATAAGAACAGATACTACACTTGATCTTAGCCAAAAGGCCGAGAAGCAAAAGAATCTATTTATGTACACATGGTTCACTAAACATTACAACCAGGCCTCTGACTTTAAAGTGGAAGTAAACTCATTTTTTTTGTGATTTTTACCTACAGGTAAGTGAGTGAAGAAGCTGGTAAAAAATGTCACATTTACCAGTACCATTCTTTCCTGAATGAACACAAGGAGTACCGTTCACTCACTGTTTTAATTCATTATACAAGCATAGTAAACTGTGGGTTTTTGTGGGTGGGAGGGGGGCCTGTCAGGTTGCTTGCATAGGGCCCCGTGGTTTTTTTTTTTTTTCTTCTTTTTCTCATTAACATAATTTATCTAGATCCCACTCCCCATCCCTCCCTCTTCCCCCCCCCATTCCCACCCCTCATCTCCCACCCCCCATTCTCCATTTCTTTTATTTCCAAAATCCATTTCTAAGGGTGTTACATCCTCATATTTCACTTTTTCTCTATACTCTTCCCATTTTTTCCACTTTATATAATATATCTCCATCTTATCTATATGCATATAATACAGTTTTTCCGTCCCACAGATCTGATTCACTCTATTCATCCAATCCTCCTCTGTTGGCACCTCCTTTTTTTCCCAAAAACCTAGGTATCAAGCTCTTCGCTGCAGTCAAAAAGTGCCAGATCCCCAGATCCTTATATAATCCCACTGGAAACTCTGTGATATGGAAAAGACATAGTTCAGGGTCTATTCTGATATTATTTTCGGTAATTTTCCTTACTAAATGGACTATTTTTTGCCAAAACTCTTGTATTCTTGGACACTCCCGCACCATATATGATATAGCGTGCCTACCTCTCCAACACAGTGGTGAAATCTCCCCAGTTTGTGCTCTACTTTTGGTGTAATGTGCCATCTTACCAAACATTTATAATTTACTTCTACTTCCCGCATACTAAATATTTTCGTGAATTAGTCTAAACATTTTCGTCTGCTCCTCCTCATCTATTTCCCTTCCCATATCCCTTTCCCATTTCTCTATATATACCAATTTTGTGTGCAGTGTCTAACTCAGTAAATATCTTATATATTTTTGCAATTCCGTGTTTCCCATCCCCCCGTGCTTCTAATAATCTTTCCATTGGGTTCCACTCTTTTCTGGTTCTCATCGGTTATGGGGGGCCCCGTGGTTTCTAACAGCAGCCCTGCCTGTAGGTAAAATGAATATCTCCTTCAAAAATATATGCATTTATTTATTTTTTCTTAAAGGTGCTCTTTAATCCTCTTCACTTACTGCATGGTCAAAGGCCTACCCCAGAAAAGGAGAAGAAGCGCCTCTAAGTGCAGCATAACACTTTAATGATGACCAAAAGTAGGAACACTCACATTTCAGAGGTTAAAATTAGGCATGTAATTCAAGTAGTGTGGTGCAACATCGGACAGGAATGGGCTGTCATCTGTATCACGGAGTCCGCGTCACGGGAGCAGCGTGGTGGCTGGAAGGAGACAGCTGTGGAGCCGGCCGGCGTGCATGTACTCAGAGCCGGGTGGAAAGTAATCAAGCTGGAGCGCAGCGGGGCGTGATGACGTCAGTGGACCAAGGTGCAATGTGACGCGTTTCAGAGCATGCGCTGGCCTGGAAAGGCGGTCCGCTCCTTTATCAAGCAGGGGCTTGATAAAGGAGTACATGCACGCCGGACTGTAAGGCCGGGATCTACAGTGTCTCCTTCCAGCCACCACGCTGCTCCAGCGTGACGCGGACTCAGTGATACAGATGACAGCCCATTCCTGTCCAATGTTACACCACACTACATGGAAGGGGGCGATGTCTAATTTTAACCTCTGAAGGGGGGGGTGAGTGTTCCCTACTTTTGAAGGGGGGGACAAGTGTCCATCCTGGACACTTTCCCCCCCCCCCCTTCCAGACCGGACACTTTTCCCCCCCCTCCGGCCTACCCTTCAGTCCGGACAAAGTGTCCCCCCCCCCCCTTCCAGTCCGGACACTTTCCCCCCCCCCCCTTCCAGTCCGGACACTTTTCCCCCCCCCCCCCCCCATTCCAGTCCAGACACTGGAAAGGGGGGGGAGAAGTGTCCGGATTCCAGTCCAGACACTTTCCCCCCCCCCCCCCTTCCAGTGTCCCAGACAAGGGGGGGAAAGTGTACCCCCCTTCCAGTCCAGGGACACTTCCCCCCCCCCCCTTCCAGTCCAGACAGTTTCCCCCCCCCCCCCCCCTTCCAGTCCAGACACTTGTCCCCCCCCCCCCCCTTCCAGTCCAGACACTTTCCCCCCCCCCCCCCCTTCCAGTCCAACAGTTTCCCCCTGGAAGGGGGGGAAAGTTCCAGTCCCAGACACTTCCCCCCCCCCCCCCCCCCCTTCCAGTCGGAAAGTTCCCCCCCCTGGAAGGGGGGGGACAAGTTCCCCCCCCCCCCCCCCTTCCAGTCCGGACACTTTCCCCCCCCCCCCTTCCAGTCCGGAAACTTTCCCCCCCCCCCTTCCAGTCCGGGGAAACTTTCCCCCCCCCCCCCCTCCAGGGGGACACTTTCCCCCCCCCCTTCCAGTCCGGGGACAAGTTTCCCCCCCCCCTTCCAGGGGGGAACTTTCCCCCCCCCCTGGAAGTCCGGACACTTTCCCCCCCCCCACCCCCTCTCCAGGGGGGACACTTTCCCCCCCCCCCCTTTTTCCAGTCCGGACACTTTCCCCCCCCCCTTCCAGTCCGGACACTTTCCCCCCCCCCCTTTCCAGTCCGGACACTTTCCCCCCCCCCCCTTCCAGTCCGGACACTTTCCCCCCCCCCCTTCCAGTCCGGAACACTTTCCCCCCCCCCTTCAGAGGTTAAAATTTCCCCCCCCCCCTAATCCAGTCCGGACACATTGGACTGGAATGGGCTTCCAGTCCGTATCACGGAGTCCCCCCCACGCTGGAGCAGCGTGGTGGCTGGAAGGAGACTTTCCCCCCCCCTTCCAGCCGGACACTTTCCCCCCCCCTTCCAGCCGGGTGGAACGCCCCCTCTGGAGAGCAGTTCGGCGTGATGACGTCAGTGGACACCCCCTTCCAGTGCGACGCACTTTCAGAGCATGCGCAGGCCGGGAAAGCGGAAGTCCGCCCCCCTTCCATGTCCGGACACTTTAAAGGAGTACATGCATGCCGGCCGGCTCCACAGCTGTCTCCGGCCACTTTCCCCCCCTTCCAGTCCTTCCAGGTACCACCTTTCCCCCCCGGATCCAGTCCAGGATACAGATGACCCCCCTTTCCAGTCCAATGTTACCCCCCACTTCCATTCCGGACACTTTCATCTTAACCCTGAAATGTCCGACACTGTTCCCCCTTCCAGTCCGACACTCTTCAATAACCCTTCCAGTCCAGACACTTTACCCCCCCCCCCCCTCCTGTCCAGGGCAATTTTCAGCTTTCAGCGCTATCACACTTTGAATGACAATTGCGCGGTCATGCAACACTGTACCCAAATGAATTTTTTACCATTTTTTTGAGACAGATAAAAGCTTTATTTTGGTGGTATTTTATTCACTGCTGGGATTTTTAATTTTTTTGCTATGTAAATGAAAAAGTCCAAAAATTTTGAAAAAAAGTTTTTTTTAATAAAATTTGCAAATAAATAATATTTCATCATAAATCTTTGCCAAAATGTATTAGAAAAATCCGTTCTCTTTTTAGTAGTAAAAAAAAAAATCCAAATTAGTTTATAACCAAAAATTATAATAAATAAAAATTTTTAAACATTTTTTTTTACATTTTTATATTATTTTTTTTATACTGTCACCCTAGCAGTACAGTGTCACCATGGTGACACTGGTACTACTTGTGGGGGGTGATGAAGATTTTTTTTTTTTTTTTTTTTTTTTACACCGATTGCTTTTACACCCATAAAGGATGTAAAAGCAATCATTTCGCTTTCTCTCTTGAAGTATTCTCTCTTGAAGTACCGAGTGAGCTGTGATTGGTCACAGCTTGTCACATGGTACAAAGGCTGTTGTGAATAGACTTGTACCATGTGACCTCTGTAATCATTCACAGATTTCACACGTAGTAAGCAATGATGTCACAAGTGACATCTTGCTTACTACTTTGCATGTGATCACTGATTGGCCAATCAGTGATCACATGATCGGGACCTCGTACAGAGGTCCTGTCCGACGATCGGTGTTTCACTGTGTCCGGAGGACACAGCGGGCACCGGATTGCGGTGCTGCGCGCAATCCGAGGGAGCGCGCACAAGCAGGTGCGGGAGGCCGTTTATAAACGGCCACACCCGACCCTGCACTGCCACCGTCTGGCCGTTTATATGCAACGGCCGGTCTGGAAGTGGTTAAAGTGTTATGCTGCACTTAGAGGTGCTCCTTCTCATTCTCTCATTAACACAGAGTCTGCTACAGTACTTCTGGGAGCTTGCCCTTAGTGCCATACGGACCCCCCAATTAAAGTCACCCTAACCATCGTCACCCACTACCAACTGTTCCAGAACTTGGTGCTAGTAGCTGCGCTGATTACTATTTCTTCATCTTCAAAGGCCTACCCCAGCCTGTGATTGGATAGCGACACATTCATACCTGCTTCGTAAAGACAATTCTGCCATCAAGAAAAGGTGGCACCAAATTATGGACCAGCAGATGCACTTTGGCGGCATTGTCCTCTTCAAAGTCCTCATCCACTTCCAACCTCTGAACCACCCCACTCGTCAGCATGCGGTTTGTTTCCCACCGCTGATCGTTGTCCTGCAGGAATATAATAAAGATATGTTACTACATAAAACAAGGTATGACCAAGGCCTACAAACATGGCCCGAGGACAAGGAGACCAAACCGTGACAGTATGAGGTGAAGGCAGTTCCATAGAAAGTCCAGATAACGGCCCATGTACAACTGCAGCTGCTAAACTGACGGTCAGGAGCTGTTCAGCATTATTTTTTCAGCAGCCCCTGAACTCTCCCTAATGTTCTCCTATGTTTCTGTGTACACAGAGTCATTTACAGGCAGTTGAGTTTAACAGTCGTTTTTTAAATGCACCAAACTTGCATTCAGGAATAGATTTTACCGGTGTTTTTCAAACGCTTGTAAACGCAACTAACCACGTTTAGAAGCGTTTGTGTTTAGAAGTGTTTAACTGTTCCATATCCAGATGCTGTGCAGAGTCTTTTTCATCATCAGAAATGCATGCAAAGCTTTTTCCATGTATTCAAATGGACCCGGTACACCAGCGCAGTCAGTTCCAGGTTCGCGTGAAGGAAAAAATGGTAGAACGCGCCGCATTATGCTCATGATGGGATCCATAGTGAAATACAACCAGTAAAGACAGCAAATCTCAACACATACTGCTCTCTCTGCTTCTGCTCTCTCTATTTCTCTCAAAATGTCTGAAATTGTTAATTATTTACTATTTTTCGGTGCATTCTGGGCATTTGGGAAGGTCTCCTGAGGTTATCTTTTAAAAACGCTTCTAAACGCAAACGCGCATAAACGCGGTATGCAAACGTGGCTAAACTGACGTTTTTTTAACCTACATTTTCTAGCAGTCAGTTTCCATCGTTCAGAAGAATTTTCCAAACACCCCGTGTACATGAGCCCTATCAGTTGCGAAAAAAAAGCGAGAGAGGGGAACAAACCCCTATATAGAGGGAATTTCTATGTGCAGAGTTACTGTCACCTCATTGATCTGCCGTCTCTGAGCAGAAACCCTCTTGTGAGTCTGCTTTTGAAGCTGCTGTTCTCTCTTGCGTACATAGTCCTCAGAGGTGGAAGTCAGAGCGTTGTGAAATTCATCAAAACCCTCATCCATCATGTACCAATCTCTATCCGCTTGCTGGAAGGGAGACAGAAGATATATTAATACTATATAGAAAGATAGAGCATGAACCAATACACCATTGGTCTGGTTACTCACCCTCTGATCTTCCTCCCACTGTCTCTGGTCATCTTCTGATGTAAAACGGATCCCATCTTCATCAGCATCCTGCTTTCCTACACAATATCATCCGTATGAATTACTACATTTATCAGATACATTTATTCCACCTTCAGATATACAGAATAAACTGGCTCAGCCGCCAGCCCAGTCCGATGATCATTTCAAATCATAATGAGACGCTACACATCTACTGTCCATCCTAAGCACATTCCCCATATCCAACAGCCTCCTAATCCATTGCTCACCCTCTATGGTTACCTGTGGTTCTACAGACGTATGCGGCCCAGCATATATGCACATGTGCTGCACAACATGGGAACGCTATAGAGGAAGGTGAGGTGGGATTGGAAAGAGAATTGAGTGGCAGAGGATCAACAGAGCTGGGGGGCCGGAGTGGGAGAAACTAGCAGATAGCATGAGAATTGCACATGGTGCAGAACATTGGAGACATATAGGAGAGAGAGAGCGAAAGAGCAAGAGTGAAAGACAGGGGGAGGGGGAGAGAGAGGGGGGGGGGAGAGAGAGAGAGAGAGGGAGAGAGAGAGGAGGGAGGGAGAGAGAGAGAGAGAGGGAGGGAGAGGAGAGAGAGAGAGAGAGAGAGAGAGAGAGAGAGGGAGAGAGAGAGAGGGGAGAGAGAGAGAGAGGGAGAGAGAGGGAGAGAGAGAGAGGGAGAGAGAGAGAGGAGAGAGAGAGAGGAGAGGGAGGGAGGGAGAGAGGGGGGGGGAGGGAGGAGGGGAGAGAGGGAGAGGGAGAGAGAGGAGAGAGGGAGGAGGGAGAGAGAGAGGAGGGAAGGGAGGAGAGAGAGGGAGAGAGGAGGGCGAGAGGGAGAGGGAGGAGAGGAAGAGGAGAGGGAGAGGGAGAGAGGGAGAGAGGAGGGAGAGAGGGAGAGAGGGAGGGAGAGGGAGAGAGGGAGAGGGGAGAGAGGGAGAGGGAGAGAGGGAGAGAGGGAGAGGGTGAGAGGGAGAGAGAGGGAGAGGGAGAGAGAGAGGGAGAGGGAGAGGGAGAGGAGAGGGGGAGAGAGGGGGGGGGAGAGGGGGGGGGGAGAGGGGGAGAGAGGGAGAGAGGGAGAGAGAGGGGGGGAAGAGAGACAGAGGGGGGAGGGAGAGGGGGGGAAGAGGAGAGGGGGGGACAGCGCGAGAGGGCGGCGAAGGGACAGCGCGAGAGACAGCGCGAGAGACAGCGCGAGAGACAGCGCGAGAGACAGCGCGAGAGACAGCGCGAGAGACAGCGCGAGAGACAGCGCGAGAGACAGCGCGAGAGACAGCGCGAGAGACAGCGCGAGAGACACAGCGCGAGAGACAGCGCGAGAGACAGCGCGAGAGACAGCGCGCGAGAGAGCGCGAGAGACAGAGAAAACAGAGATAAACAGAGAACTTGAAGCAAACCAACAGAGATGAGGGTTACTACTGAGTGTGGTGGGGGGGGGGGGGGGGGGAGGGGGGAGATCAACAGGGATGGGGGTAGTACTGAGCAGGGGATCAGTTGAACAAGGGTATTAAAGAGCTGGGGGCATTACTCAGGCAGGGTTCTACTGAGCCCCTGTAAAATAAATAGAAAATCAACACGCACTTGGGCATTTGCCAAGCTTCACTAAAGCTTCAAAAAAAAAAAAAAAAAAAAAAAAAAAACACCCCACACTTGCTGAAGGGGTAGAGACTTTAATGTTTGTTACAATCAAAGCAAGTGTAATTGAGCCCTAAAGAAGACAGAACACAGAAAAAGACAATAATAAAAGTCAGAAGACGTTTAATTTTTTTTTAACCATTTGTATCAACGGCTAGGATTGCTCTGTTCCTGGTGTCGTGTTCCCAGCTAACAATGGACCATTTAATGGCACAAAAAACAGGGCCAGGATAGTTAAAAATAGGTTTCCCCAACCTTCAGGAGCCATTTAAAGCCCACTGCACCCTAAAAAACTACTAGAAAACCACCTTTAAGAAGCACTGACATCTTGCCCATGAGATCCCCATACACTCATCTTACCAGCACTTGGTTGCAGTTCCCTGCCGCTCTGCAGCCACAACAGTCACGTAGCAATATTACTCTGGCCTAGTGATTGGCTGCTAGGCCCTGGCACTGTCACAAGGGAGCAAATGACGACATGCTTCCCCATACCAAGAAGCTGCAGAGGAGCAAAGAACTGCAAGAGAGCACAGGTAAGGCAAGTAAGAGGGAGTTAGGGGAAGCCCTTTGAAGGAATACCATCACTTTGCCCTGCATGTGAAAGGCGATACCATCTCTTAAGTTTTGCCTTCCCTACCGACTCCAATGTATTCATTAACCACTTCCCGTCCGGTCCATGTATATAAACGCCGGACGGGAGCAGTGCAGGAGCAGGTGAACGATTATAAATGTCCTCCCACTTCCCTGCCTGTGCGCGCTCCCTGGGAGCACGTGACACCGCAATCCGGTGCCCGCTGTGTCCGAAGGAACACTGATCGCTGTACGGAACCTCTGTATGAGGTCCCAATCATGTGATCACTGATTAGCCAATCAGTGATCACATGCAAAGTGGTAAGCAAGACGTCACTTCTGAAATCATTGCTTACTACATGTGAAATCTGTGAATGATCACAGAGGTCACATGGTACAGGGCTATTCACAACAGCCTTGTACCATGTGACAGGCTGTGACCAATCACAGCTGACACAGTATTTCTCAATGGTTGCAGGAATGCAGCCAGACAGAAGGGGAAATGATTGCTTTTACAGCCTTTATGGGTGTAAAAAAGCTATCAGTGTAAAAAAAAATAAAAAAAAGTTTAAAAAATTATAATTTTTGGTTATAAACTAATTTGGGTTATTATTTTTTTACTAAAAAGGATAGCTGAAAAGATTTATGAAAAAAGATTATATTGCAAAATGTTATTAAAAAAAAAACACTTTTTTCAAAATGTTCAGACTTTCATTTATATAGCAAAAAAATAAAAATCCCAGTGGTGAATACCCCCAAAATAAAGTTTCATCTGTCTCAAAAAAATGCTAAAAAATTCATATGGGTACAATGTTGCATGACCGCGCAATTATCATTCAAAACTGTGACAGCGCTGAAAGCTGAAAATTGGCCTGGACTGGAAGGGGGGGGGGGGGGGGACTGGAAGGGGGGGAAAGCGTCCGGACTGGAAGGGGGGGACAGCGTCCGGAAAGCGTCTGGAAGGAAGGGGGGACAGCGTCCGGACTGGAAGGGGGGGAAAGCGTCCGGACTGGAAGGGGGGGAAAAGGCGTCCGGGACTGGAAGGGGGGGAAAAGGGGCGTCCGGACTGGAAGGGGGGGAAGGGGGTGAAAGCGTCCGGACTGGAAGGGGGTGAAAGCGTCCGGACTGGAAGGGGGTGAAAAAGCGTCCGGACTGGAAGGGGGTGAAGGCGTCCGGACTGGAAGGGGGTGAAAGCGTCCGGACTGGAAGGGGGTGAAAAGCGTCCGGACTGGAAGGGGGTGAAAGCGTCCGGACTGGAAGGGGGTGAAAGCGTCCGGACTGGAAGGGGGTGAAAGCGTCCGGACTGGAAGGGGGTGAAAGCGTCCGGACTGGAAGGGGGTGAAAGCGTCCGGACTGGAAGGGGGTGAAAGGGGGTGAAAGCGTCCGGACTGGAAGGGGGTGAAAGCGTCCGGACTGGAAGGGGGTGAAAGCGTCCGGACTGGAAGGGGGTGTGAAAGCGTCCGGACTGGACTGGAAAGGGGGTGAAAGCGTCCGGACTGGAAGGGGGTGAAAGCGTCCGGACTGGAAGGGGTCCGGACTGGGAAGGGGGTGAAAGCGTCCGGACTGGAAGGGGGTGAAAGCGTCCGGACTGGAAGGGGGTGAAAGCGTCCGGACTGGAAGGGGGTGAAAAAGCGTCCGGACTGGAAGGGGGTGAAAGCGTCCGGACTGGAAGGGGGTGAAAGCGTCCGGACTGGAAGGGGGTGAAAAGCGTCCGGACTGGAAGGGGGTGAAAGCGTCCGGACTGGAAGGGGGTGAAAGCGTCCGGACTGGAAGGGGGTGAAAGCGTCCGGACTGGAAGGGGGGGACTGAAAGCGTCCGGACTGGAAGGGGGTGAAAGCGTCCGGACTGGAAGGGGGTGAAAGCGTCCGGACTGGAAGGGGGTGAAAGCGTCCGGACTGGAAGGGGGTGGTGAAAGCGTCCGGACTGGAAGGGGGTGAAAGCGTCCGGACTGGAAGGGGGTGAAAGCGTCCGGACTGGAAGGGGGTGAAAGCGTCCGGACTGGAAGGGGGGAAAGCGTCCGGACTGGAAGGGGGTGAAAGCGTCCGGACTGGAAGGGGGTGAAAGCGTCGGGACTGGAAGGGACATTAAAGGACATTTTTGTACTGCAACCAGCAGGACCTCTCATTGGTTATCATTTTCCCTTCCCCAAAAGCACTTCGCCTCACATTCATCTTTACCACATTTACCTGCTGGACCATCACTTTCCCCCCCACCATCCCATCACTTACCTCTTCCCTGGGAGAGCCGCGGGGTGGACCCAAAATGGCGCCTCTCAGATGCCCATTCATTAAATTTGTAGGAAGGTGTCGGCAGCGGAGAATCATCCGTGTAGCTGACCCTCACTGACCTGCATGGAACAAAACATTATTTGTGGATGCCTTTAATTACACTGTCCTGTTGCAGAAAAGTGAAGAAATACTGACCGATCCCTCCTGGAACTGTCCCTCTCGCTGCGGTGGCTCCGGTCGTAGTCTTTGTATGATGGTGACGGAGAAGGCGACTCCCATTGAGAGCGCTGAGAACTGCCGTAACCGCTGTCATCCTCCTCCCACCCAGAACGAGAGGGAGTCGAGGAATCTAGAGAAAAAAAAAAAAAAATGTCAATGTGAACTACAAGACACACGACTAGACCGAAAGTCTTGAAAGGCTGAGGGCTCGGCTATGACACCCAGCAGGCCTTTCCAGATGCTAGTCATTGCCAAGTCCTGAACTCTGATGTGTCCCACAAAGGAGGACTCTACACCACTTGGTCATACCTCTGGGTTTGTGCCTCGGAGAATCAGGTTCGCTGCGTCTTGAACTTCTCTCGGATCCGCTGTCTCGCTCTGAGCGATCACGATCAGACCTGCTGCTCCTGTGACTGCGGTCATCTGGGGAGTCATTGAAAAAAAAAAAATAAAAAAAAAAAATAAAATCAATGTATATATTGTGCTCCACCTAAACATGTATATACCTTAAAGCAGAACTGTGGCCAAACTATGAACATTCAACAATTTACATATTCTTAACAAGCAGGAAATAATCTTTTAAAACAATCCCCCACTGACCTCTGTAGCTGCAGATACTGTGAAGCAATTCATCCTCAATTTTCAAAGAGATCTAGTGAAGTCATTCAAGCTGCGACTGTTTTCTCCCCTGTTCCTGTGCACCTGCTCTTTGTTTATATTAGAGATAAGAGGGCTGCCAGGCTGCCAAGTCACTGCTGGGAGGGGGGACCTAAACAATTTCGTGAGGGAAAATGAAAGTGAAAACATTTTTTTTTTCTCAAAAACGTTGAGGATTAACTACTCCGTGGTGCCTGCAGATACATATGTTCCTGAGCGCTTGCTTTAACCTCTTGCCAACCTCCAGCAGTACATTTACAGCTGGCGGGCGGATTTCACAGGCACTGCAACATACCCGTACGTCCTGGTGAACTTCCTGGTTTAAAGGTGCGCATCCCATGCTAATCTGGGCTGTGGCCAATCACAGCACGGAGATCTGTGTGTTCATAAAAACACAACACACAGATTCTGTCCGGATTCCTCCCTGCCCTCAGAACTGAAAGCAAGGAGAGACTGCAGCCAGATCTGTAAGTAAAAGCAGTACGCAAACACTTGCATGCACTTGTTCGGCACACTGTTAACCCCTTGATTGTCCTATTCTCTCCTGTCACCCAGCCAGTGTCATTAATACAGAATTATCACTGATCACTGTAATTGTGTCACTAGCAACGTCATTGTCAAAAGTTCCTCCCAGCCAGCGACAGCGCCAGATTGCCCACCACCCTCACACTAAGTTACCTATCACCGTTGATACTAGTATAGTGACTGTACAGATCAGTATCAGAGCTATACCAGTGTCCCCAATAGTATGGTGTCCCCAAAAGCACGGTTTAACTTTTTCCCAAAAGGCATGTAGCCTAGATTTATGAAGAAATGTGATTTCATTGGATATGTTTTATATAATAGAAAGTAGAAAATGGTGGGGTTTTTTTTTCAAAATTTTCAGTAATTTTTTCATTCTATATAAAATATAAAATCCAGTGGTGACCAAAATACCACCAAAAGAAATCTCTATTTGTGTGAAAAAAAATTATATAAAAATCATTTGGCTACAGCGTTGCATGAGCGCACAATTACCAGTTAAAGTAGTGCAGTGCTGAATAGCAAAAAAAAAAAAAACACACACAACATGCCCTAGTTATGAAGGGGGTTAAAGCATTTTTACTTCTTAAGAATATGTAAAAATAGTTGAATGTCTGTAGCCTGGCAACAGCCCTATATAAAAGGGAAAACTCTCCTGGGAGGCGGAGTTTGTTTACTTCTTCTCTTGAGAATGTTAACTGCTTACCCTCCCGGCTTCAGTATTCTCAGCCACTTCCCCAAAACAAGCACACAGATAAGGACCTCTAACTTTCTCCTACTTTGATCTGCCTATATGTCATTAGTTCTCACATTTCTCCCATCGTAGGTGTACTTTGAAGTGCATCAGTCGGGTTCTACAAACTCTGTAAATATTGGTAATGTGCAGCAACTTGCAAGTACCTGTCAAATCCTGTGTGCTTGGGAACGATCCCAGAATGCAGGCCGTGGTCAGGGTCTCTTTAATTCTGATTTAAGGCTAAAACTGTAAATAAGCTTTAAATAACCCCATCCTGTACCTACAACCACTGTGGAGAAATTCATCCTCAAAGTTCACAACAGAAGCAAAAAAAAAAAAAGTCACTCACATTGGGTCTGTAGGCAGACTACATGGTTGGCAAGCTGCCAGGTCACTGCTATGAAGAGAAAAATATCATAAAGCTGAGAAGCTTTAGGATGAATTACTCCATGGTAGCTACAGCTACAAAGGTCAGTGAGGGCTTGTTTTAAATTTAATATACCGCTTGTTAAAGTCCAGCACTGGGCTTCCCCCTCCCGAAGTGAATGTTAGATTTCTCGCACAGATTAAATTATATCAGGTGTCATTCAACCAGGAACACCGAGGAAATCTAGCAGTGGGAGGGAACGGTGATGGAAAGTACGTTAGTACTGCTGTCAAAGCTGGTTTGCCGTTTGAAATCTTTGCTAGGTGATTTTTATTAATGCTGAACTCCAGCTTTTTGTACCACTTTACATGTGCCAAGCTGGCCCAAACGAACTATGTCCCTCACCAACATGTGAGGCAGCTGGATGTGCCGTATGAACTGTGTGTAGCTGACGCTACATGCAGCACTGTGTTCCGGTGCGAGCCGAGACTGTCCTTTCTCAACCCCGGAACCCCAGAGGAAGCTTTGTATTCAATCGATAGCCAGTCATAGAAAGAGTTGTATTCTATCGATTGAATACAAAGCTTCCTCTGATTGGCTGAGTCTGAGGTTATCACCTCATCAGCCTGCCTCTCAGACTCATCCAATCAAAGGAAGCTTTGTATTCAGAGTCTGAGAGGCAGGCTGATGAGGTGATAACCGCAGACTCAGCCAATCAGAGGAAGCTTTGTATTCAAATAGAATACATTGCTTTCTATGAGTGGCTATCGATTGAATACAAAGCTTCCTCTGATTGCCACTAACTTCAGACTCATTTGTATTCAAAGATAGCCAATAGTAAGCAATGTATTCTATCGATTGAATACAAAGCTTCCTCTGATTGGCTGAGTCTGAGAGGCAGGCTGATGAGGTTATAACTTCAGACTCAGCCAATCAAAGGAAGCTTTGTATTCACTCGATAGCCACTCATAGAAAGCAATGTATTCTATCGATTGAATACAAAGCTTCCTCTGATTGGCTGAGTCTGAAGTTATAACCTCATCATAACTTCAGGCTCAGCCAATCAGAGGAAGCTTTGTATTCACTCGATAGCCAATACATTGCTTTCTATGAGTCTGATTAATACAAAGCTTCCTCTGATTGGCTGAGCAGTTATAAGGCTCTGCCTGCCTCTCAGACTCATCCAATCAAAGGAAGCTTTGTATTCAATCGATAGCCACTCATAGAAAGCAATGTATTCTATCGATTGAATACAAAGCTTCCTTTGATTGGATGAGTCTGAGAGGCAGGCGGATGAAGTTATAACCTCAGACTCAGCCAAATCAGAGGAATCTTTGTATTCATTGATAGAATACATTGCTTTCTATGAGTAGCTGAGCTCTGCTCAGACAGACTCTATTGTGTTCCGGGGCTGAAACAGGAAAGTCTCGACTTGCACCGGAACACAGCGCTGCCTGCAGCCTCAGCTACATACAGGTCATACAGCACAACCAGCGGCCTCAAATGTAAGTGAGGGATATAGTTCGCTTGGGCCAGCATGTAAAGTGAACCAAAAGCTGGAGTTGAGCTTTAAACCGCTGTATGGAGGAGATGGGCTTTAATATGTAAGTATTTGAATGTCCATAACCTAGCCACAGTTCTATTTTAAGGCTTTCCCCAACCTGGCTAACCCACAATGCTGTGCATATGTGTTTATTTTTACATACACGGTTCGTTTTTACCAATCTTATTTGTAACTTGCATGGGCCAAGCTGTAGTTTAGGTTTACTAGCCATTTACCTATACATTTCGGAGTTCCAGCTTACCTCTGTCTCGACTGCTACGCTCCTTTCGCCGCCGATCGTCCTTGGATGAAGCATAGACGCCATGTTCCCTCCTCTCTCGCTCCCTCTGGCGACTCCGTGCCAGGAATTCCTCGTTGACCCCACCGGTATAAGACGGTGTCTCCACTCGTGGCGTTCTGTAATGTCTTAAATAACAACATTCAATTAGAAACAAGGAGTAGCTGGTCTTTAGATATCCCTACGTTAAATGGAGAGCATTGGAATTTCCATCCTAGAACAGGTCCCCTTGGTATCTATTTCTCCCACACAGAGACTATCTCAACTTTTCCTTCTACATAGAGCTTATAGACTCTGGCGGGAACGCAATGTCTCGCTTCTTCCTGCTGCCTCTCTGGAGGTCCCTCGGATGGGACACTTGGGACAGTTCCATCCCCTACAACTGGGACACCCCTTGGTACTACTTGGATACCTTCAAGTTCATCAAGCAGCAGCAGGGAGTCAAGCCTGACTTGTGGAAACCAAAGACCATTTACAAGCTGATCAGAGCAAGCGACATTTTGGAGTTGGTTCCAGGCCTGCCTTCAGACACCTGCAAGGTGGTCTGGAGGAATGTTTCTTCCAACATTCTCACCAACAGGCACAAAGACCTGGCATGGATGGCAATCCAAGGGGGGTTGCCTCTCAGGACATTTATGCATGCCAGGAACCTGAGCAGATACAGACACTGCCCCTTCTGCATCATCCATGAGGAAACGTCTCACCACGTTTTCTGGGAGTGCTCATTTGCTCAGGCCCTGTTGGGGGCCCTGGAACCTGAACTCGAAGACTTTGTACCACAGACAGCCATCACTCACTTTGGGGTGTTGAATGGACTGTTCTGTGGAACTTTTTCTCTGGAGGACATTGACGGCGCCTGGAGGGTGCTGTGTTGCTTTAAGGACGCTTTATGGTGCGCCAGGAAGCGCCTCATCCACCAGCGGGAGAGGATGTCCATTGAGGACTGCCGCAGACTGATCCTCAGTCTGCTCAGAGACTATACCTTGATGGACTTTAAGGAGGAAGAGGACGTCTGAAGATTTCCCCTTCCCCCTACTCCCCCTTGCGTGTCTTTGTCCCTTCAATAAAGCTTCGGGCCTGTGTTTTCCCCCCTTTTTCCCCCCCCCCCCCCCCACACACCGATGCTTATTGTAGATTGTAAACTCCGGCTTTTGTTCTCGTTTTCGTTTTTGCATGACTTAGTACTGTGTATCAGGATGCTATGGTTTTTGGGGTAAGCGGCGTTATGCATGACGTGTTGGTCCGGGGGATTCATCCTCCACACACATCACGTCAGGCATCATACCGCTGAGCGAATGTATTTATTTCTGAATGTATTTATCGTATGCTTGGAACTGTATTGCAATGTGGTGCGCTGCGTCGCAGTACAGGGCGAGATGTACCCCGATTACAAGTATCATGTTGTTTTTGATGCTTCTGTAATAATAGAGCTTATAGAATGCTTCTCGGCCTTTTGGATAAGATGAAGTGTAGTATCTGTTCTTATCAGTGTCCAGTGGGGGCGCTCCACCATCATTCCTGCTTGCGGGGATGATTGGTTGTATAGTACCCCTGCTGGTAGGATGGGGGTCCTGATGGTTAGTACAGGCTGGAAGAGAAACCGAGGCACCCACAGGCTCCTGGCGCCCGGGAGTAATTCCCCCTGGAAAACCGGAGGGGCCCAGTTCCTCCTGGTTTGAATGGATCTACTTTGTCTGGCCAGAGGCCGGGGAGGCAGAAAGTCTGTGAACCAGTGCCCCCCGAGAGTGGTCGCCTCAGGGGTGCTCTTAGTAACACATGGGTGTGTGGGACCCCAATGTGTGAAACGGCACATGGTCACTGTTTCAAACACTTTTCCTGCACTGCGCCTTTAGGACCGGGCCTTATGGCTAAGTCCTGGGCAATTTTTGCTACGGGCCTCAGGGCCTGGTCAGTGCACAATTGCACGGCCACTTATTTATTTATTTATTTTCTCCTCAGGTTTGTCACTTTTCACTTTTGTGTGTGTTTTATTTCTCACAGGATGGAGGGTGTGGGTCCTCGGGCCTACCCTGAAGTCTACGGGGAGGATGTGTGGCCTTTTGGTTCCTTCCTCCCCTGTCCCTAGGGGGTTTTTCTCTTACCAAGTACTTGGTGTCTGGCTTCGGCTGGCCACAAGGAACGGGGTCCCGCCAGGCCTTTTGGCTAGGCAGACCACATGGGAACCTTGTCCCTGTCAGGAGCTTCGTGCCCCTGGGGATCAGGGTAGAGATCCAACCCCTTCGGGGGATGGACAAAAAACACCCCTAAGTGCACTTTTTGTGTTTTTGCACTTGCACGCTTTTTTTGTACACTTACGGGTTTTTCGCACGTTCACGGACTTAAAAAAAAAAAAAAAAAAAAAAAAAAAAATAGAGCTTATAGAAAGCCTCACAAGATGTTTAAATGGCACCGTAGAGAAACCCCGAAGGGCCCTCGCTGTGGGGACCATCTGCATATGTTCTTGAAATGTCCCAAACTGGAGTATTGAGCTTGATACCATCAACCGGGCCTTTCAAGTGATGCAACCCAACGATCCCACCAGATGCCTACGAGGAATCATCTACTCCTCATGTGAGAAACGCTAGAACTAGGCTTCTGTTCTTGGCACGGAAAAGCATTTTGTTGAAGTGGCTTCCATCTACACCTCCTACATTTGAAGATTTGGGACCCTTGACTTCACAGTCCAGGTTTGCCCCCCTTTAGCTCTTGTATCCCTGAGCATATTACAAATATTAACTGATCCCTGGTGGGAGATATTTCGGTATCGCAATACCAGAGAGAGTCTCTCTTTTCTTTCTCTTCCAAGTGCTCCAGAACATATACAGTGATACCTCAGTTCACGAACGCTTCTGTTCACAAACAAAGGAGTTGTCGGGGCAATGGGAGTATAGTGATCGGGGTCAGTCGAGGCAATGGGAGTATAGTGATCGGGGTCAGTCGAGGCAATGGGAGTATAGTGATCGGGGTCAGTCGAGGCAATGGGAGTATAGTGATCGGGGTCAGTCGAGGCAATGGGAGTATAGTGATCGGGGTCAGTCGAGGCAATGGGAGTATAGTGATCGGGGTCAGTCGAGGCAATGGGAGTATAGTGATCGGGGTCAGTCGAGGCAATGGGAGTATAGTGATCGGGGTCAGTCGAGGCAATGGGAGTATAGTGATCGGGGTCAGTCGAGGCAATGGGAGTATAGTGATCGGGGTCAGTCGAGGCAATGGGAGTATAGTGATCGGGGTCAGTCGAGGCAATGGGAGTATAGTGATCGGGGTCAGTCGAGGCAATGGGAGTATAGTGATCGGGGTCAGTCGAGGCAATGGGAGTATAGTGATAGCTGTACTCCTGTAGCTTTGTAAAACTCTCAGATGCAAATTAAAAGAGTCCAGCACCTTCTTGGACTTAGCTTACAGTAAGCCAGCACATTTTTACAAAGTGGCTGAATTCCAGAGCTTCAGTTTTAAAAAAATTCAAGTAGGGCTGTTAGTTAACACAGAACTTAACCGAAAAGGGGAAGTTCCACTTGTTTGCATCACCCCCCCCCCCCCCCCCCCTTCACTGCCACATTTGGCACTTTTTGTGGGCGAGTACCTGTCAAAACCACACTGTCGCAGCAATCTAAGCCAGAGGTTGGCCCCTGTTCCCCCACAGCCTTCTGGGACGCTTCACAGAAGGCCGCGGGACCATTCACAAAGCGCAGCGTGTCTTCTCACATGAGCAGTAGGAAACCAGCTATGAAGCTGCAAGGCTTCACTGATGGTTTCCCTTACTTAACCACTTCTCATCCGGCCCATATATATATATATATAAATATATAAATAAACGGCCAGACGATGGCAGTGCAGGGTCGGGTGGTTGTTTATAAACGGCCTCCCACCCCCGCACACAGTGGAACACCGATCGTCGGACGGGACCTCTGTGTGAGCTCCCGATCGTGTGACCACTGATTGGCCAATCAGAGATCACATGCAGAGTAGTAAGCAAGATGTCACTTCTGACATCATTGCTTACTACATGTGAAATCTGTGAATGATCACAGAGGTGACATGGTACAGGGCTATTCACAACAGCCTTGTACCATGTGACAAGCTGTGACCAATCACAGTTCACACAGTAGTTTTCAATCGCTGCAAGAATGCAGCCAGAGAGAAGAAGAAAAGATTGCTTTTACAGCCTTTATGGGCATAAAAGCAATCAGTGTAAAAAAAAAAAATCTTCATCACCCCCCCCACAAGTAGTACAGTGTCGCCATGGTGACATTGTACTGCTAGGGTGACAGTATGTAAAAAAAACCCACAAAAAAAATTAAAATAAAAAGATATACTGAAACTCACCTATCACCATGGCTTCCTCGGCTGATCCTATCACTGGATCCTTCAGAGGTCTTCTCTCGATCCTCCCAGTCTCTAGAACCTACTTTAACTTTCTTGTCCCCCTCCTGCCGCTCCTTCTCCTCTCGCTCCTTCCTTTTTTGGGCAGCCAACAAGTCTAGGCCCAGCAGCGAGGAGCGCGGCGCGGGGGCTTTAAACACATGCTGCTCATTGCTGGAACTCTTCTTCTTAATCACCAGTCCTCCTTCCTGGAGAGAAGGCTCACTGCCCTCCAACCTGTGTAGTGAGGCGTCATCCTCCATGTTGCTGATGGCGCGGCACCTTCCCAAGTACACATGTAATGATGCAGAGCCGTCTACCTTCAGTGACTTCTGTAATAAAAAAAAATTAAAAAATTAATTAAAGCTTCAACTGTATGACGTTACCTCCTCCAAAACCACAACCAATACAAGATCTGCCGTCTCTGTAACTAAACTCATCCAAGGGGACCAGACACACCGGTGGGGGACACCTCGTCCAAGGGGACACCTCACCGGTGGGGGACACCTCGTCCAAGGGGACACACCGGTGGGGACACCTCGTCCAAGGGGACACACCGGTGGGGACACCTCGTCCAAGGGGACACACCGGTGGGGACACCTCGTCCAAGGGGACACCTCGTCCAAGGGGACACACCGGTGGGGACACCTCGTCCAAGGGGACACACCGGTGGGGACACCTCGTCCAAAGGGGACACACCGGTGGGGACACCTCGTCCAAGGGGACACACCGGTGGGGACACCTCGTCCAAGGGGACACACCAGTCAAGGGGATGCTCTGATCCAAGGGGAAACACCGATGGGGACACCTCAGCCAAGGGGACACACCGATGGGGACACACCCATGGGGATGCGCTCATCTAAGGGCCAAAGTACATCTTTGCCAGCACACCACAGATCACCAATATTGTTCAAAATGCTATTTTTATTGAAGAATGATCACATCACAAGGGAAGGGTACAATGTTTCGGATTCACGCAGGGCTCCATCAAGCATGACAAAGGGGCCCTGTGCGGCCCCAAAACGCTGCACCTTTCCTTTGTAATGTGATTATTCTCCAATAAAAATAGCCTTTTGAACAATATTGGTGATCTGTGGTGTGCTGGCAAAGATGTACTTTGATCTATGATGGCTCCAGTTTCCAGCTGGATGTTGCTGTAGCCTCTGCCACTTTTGACCTTGGTTCAGGAACGTGTGCCATGGGAATATTGACATAGCCTCATCCAAGGGGCCGCTCTGATTCATGGGGACGCCTCATCCAAGGGGCCGCTCTGATTCATGGGGACGCCTCATCCAAGGGGCCGCTCTGATTCATGGGGACGCCTCATCCAAGGGGCCGCTCTGATTCATGGGGACGCCTCAGCCAAGGGGCCGCTCTGATTCATCGGGACGCCTCAGCCAAGGGGCCGCTCTGATTCATCGGGACGCCTCAGCCAAGGGGCCGCTCTGATTCATCGGGACGCCTCAGCCAAGGGGCCGCTCTGATTCATCGGGACGCCTCAGCCAAGGGGAAGCTCTGATTCATCGGGACGCCTCATCCAAGGGGAAGCTCTGATTCATCGGGACGCCTCATCCAAGGGGAAGCTCTGATTCATCGGGACGCCTCATCCAAGGGGAAGCTCTGATTCATCGGGACGCCTCATCCAAGGGGACGCTCTGATTCATCGGGACGCCTCATCCAAGGGGACGCTCTGATTCATCGGGACGCCTCATCCAAGGGGACGCTCTGATTCATCGGGACGCCTCATCCAAGGGGACGCTCTGATTCATCGGGACGCCTCATCCAAGGGGACGCTCTGATTCATCGGGACGCCTCATCCAAGGGGACGCTCTGATTCATCGGGACGCCTCATCCAAGGGGACGCTCTGATTCATCGGGACGCCTCATCCAAGGGGACGCTCTGATTCATCGGGACGCCTCATCCAAGGGGACGCTCTGATTCATCGGGACGCCTCATCCAAGGGGACGCTCTGATTCATCGGGGCGCCTCATCCAAGGGGATGCTCTGATTCATCGGGACACTTCACCCAAGGGTACCTTAATCAGAGTGGCCGCTTGGATGAGGTGCCTCCATCAGAGGGGTCCCTTGGATGACTGACGAAGGGGACACCCCCCGGGGACACCTCATCCAAGCGGACACCACGCTGGGGACACCTCATCCAAGCGGACACCACGCTGGGGACACCTCATCCAAGCGGACACCACGCTGGGGACACCTCATCCAAGCGGACACCACGCTGGGGACACCTCATACAAGCGGACACCCCGATGGGGACACCTCATCCAAGCGGACGCCCCGATGGGGACACCTCATCCAAGCGGACGCCCCGATGGGGACACCTCATCCAAGCGGACGCCCCGATGGGGACACCTCATCCAAGCGGACGCCCCGATGGGGACACCTCATCCAAGCGGACGCCCCGATGGGGACACCTCATCCAAGCGGACGCCCCGATGGGGACACCTCATCCAAGCGGACGCCCCGATGGGGACACCTCATCCAAGCGGACGCCCCGATGGGGACACCTCATCCAAGCGGACGCCCCGATGGGGACACCTCATCCAAGGGGACGCCCCGATGGGGACACCTCATCCAAGGGGACGCCCCGATGGGGACACCTCATCCAAGTGGACACCACAATGGGGACACCTCATCCATGGGGCCCTTCTGATGGGGCCCCCTGTACAATGTACAGCCCTGTCCCCTCCCTGTATACATTGTATTCATATGGAGGTCTGCCCCTCCAGGTACACAGTCCTGGGGATGGGGATGACACCCAGACCTCTCTGATGCCCTCCCCATGCACAGGGGCCATCATTAGATGGGAGCCATGACAGGCAGCAGCTGTGATCCCCTCAGGAAGCCCCCACCTGCCCTCAGATGCCCCCAGTGCCTGTACAGCACTGACAAGACACAGTCCATCCACCTCCATCACTCACACCCCGGGAACCGGCCATACAGACTCATATTCCGCCTACCCCTCCTACCTCAACCTGTGGGCGCCGCCATCATCCCGGCATAACGCTGTTCTCGCTACAAAACTTTATTGATCAGAGAGCTAACAGAGAACCCTGCTTCCGGTATCTGGCGGCCATCTTTAGACTCCCTTTCAGGTTCCTATTGAGCGTGCGCCGTCAGCCGCCATGTTTGTACACCCACGCCGCCTGCGCTTCGCTTTATAAAACGTAGGAGGCGGTGCTAACGCCATGTTTGTACACCCAGTTCTGCTTCCTTGTGAAACGGAACTGAGGTGCAGCCGCTATATGTGTAGACCCAATTTGACTTTTTGTTTTTTTTGTGAAGCTGCGTAGAGCCGCAACCGCCATGTTTATACACCCAATTAGACTACCCCTTTTTGTGAAGTGGAATTGAGGCTCACCAGCCATGTTTCTACGCCCAATTACTATGCTCTTGCGTAGAGATGGCAGCTGGCATGTTTGTACATCCAATTAGACGGAGCTTCCTTGTGAAACGTTACTGAGGTGCACCCGCCATGTTTGTACACCCACATAGGTGGCAGGTTTCTAGTAGCTCAGACACAGCGGGCTGAATTCACATAGCTCTTAAAGAAGCGTAAGACTTTGGGGCCTATCCACTGATTATTGTATACAATATTTGTGTTTTTTTGGAAATATTTCACACAATAATAAAATAGGTAATTTATCAAAGTAAAATGTCAAATGTGAGGGAAATACAACAAATCAATTACAAATGTGAGGAAAATACAACAAATCAATTACAAATGTGAGGTAAATACAACAAATCAATTACAAATGTGAGGAAAATACAACAAATCAATTACAAATGTGAGGTAAATACAACAAATTCATTACAAATGTGAGGAAAATACCACAAATCAATTACAAATGTGAGGAAAATACAACAAATTCAAAAATTCAACAAATCATTACAAATGTGAGGAAAATACAACAAATCAATTACAAATGTGAGGAAAATACAACAAATCAATTACAAATGTGAGGAAAATACTGCAAAAAATGAGATAAATCATTAAAGTCAATTCACTAAAATGACACATTGGTTATTGATCAATTATTATTATTATTATTACATCGAGTTTATATAGCGCCAAAGGGTTTGCTCAGCTCTGTACAATGGGGGGGGGACAATACATGGCACAGTACAACAACAACAAACAACGTACGAGGGGTAAGAGGGCCCTACTCTTTCGAGCTTACAATCTAGGTGGAAGGGGGTAGAGGCACAGGAGGAAGTGGCTGAGGGGAATGAGGGGTGGGAGGAAAGAGGGAGAATGGCCGTTAGGTGAGGGCGGGGTAGGCTTCCCTGAAGAGATGGGTTTTGAGGGAGCGCCTGAATGTGGGGAGGGAAGGCGACAGTCTGATGGATTGGGGCAGTGAGTTCCAGAGGATGGGGGAGGACCTGGAGAAGTCCTGCAGTCGTGCATGGGAGGAGGAGACCAGGGAGCAGGATAGAAGGAGGTCCTGTGAGGAGCGAAGGGTACGGGTAGGGTGGTACTTGGGGATCAGGTTGGTGAGGTAGTCAGGGGCAGTGTTGTGAACGGCTTTGTAGGTCAGGGTTAGGAGTTTAAATTTGATGCGTTGGGCAATCGGGAGCCAGTGGAGGGAGAGGCAGAGGGGGGTGGCAGAGGTGGAGCGGGTGGTGAGGTGGATGAGTCTGGCCGCTGAGTTCAGGATGGTCTGGAGCGGGGAGAGCCTGCACTTGGGTAGGCCGGTGAGAAGAGAATTACAGTAGTCAAGGCGTGAGATGATGAGGGAGTGTACTAGAAGTTTGGTGGTGTCTGGGGTGAGGAAGGTACGTATCTTGGCAATGTTGCGAAGATGGAGCCTGCATGTGTTTGTGAGTGATTTGACATGCGGTTGGAAGGAGAGGTTCGAGTCAAGAATGACGCCAAGGACTTTGGCTTGCGGGGTGGGAGTGATAGTGGAGTTGTTGGTGATGATGGATAGGATGGGGGGGGGGTGTTGGCAGGGGGAAAGACGAGGAGCTCGGTTTTGGAGAGGTTGAGCTTGAGGAAATGTAGCGACATCCAGTCTGAGATGTCATTTAGGAGGTGAGTGATGCGGGCGGAGATAGTGGGGGTGAGGAGAGGGGTGGAGAGGTAGATTTGGGTGTCGTCAGCGTAGAGGTGATAGTTGAAGCCGTGAGAGTGTATGAGTTTGCCCAGGGAGGAGGTGTAGATGGAGAAGAGAAGGGGTCCAAGGACAGAGCCTTGGGGGACCCCAACAGAGAGGGGGAGGGAGGGGGAGGTGGCACACCATT